TATATATAATGTTAAGTTTAGAAAATCAATGCACTTATCTTAATACTGAAAATGGAGTAGAGAACACCAAATACGGCTAAAAGTTTAGATTTCTTTATTCTAGTCAAAATTTTGGATAGACTAAGTTCATCTTTATAAAGTAAAAAAGATAGAAAATTATAACTTTAAAGAAAACAATATTAATTTCTTTAAAATGAAAATAACGTTCTTTTCTAAAAGCCCGTTTGGGATGGCTTTTGAAAAACCAAAAGGAGCTTTTGAGAGCCAAAAGCCGCTTTTGGACCGTTTGGCTATTTTTGTTTAAAGTGCTTTTGAAGGTTAGAAGAACTTTTAGAGGAAGCTGGTTTTTTTAGCTTCTTCCAAAAGCACTTCCGGAATGGGAAGTGATTTTAAATATTAATTTTTAAACAAAAATTAAAATAGCTTTCTCCAAAAGCTGTTCCACAAGAAGCAAAAGCTAAAGTAACAGCCGTGTCAAACGGGCCCTAAATAAACAAGGAAAAAATATAGTTTAAACCTGGCATCCAGAAGATGCAGAAGCTCTGGCGCTTCAAGGGAGGCTTCTTCTTGCTATGAAGCAAAAATGTACAATTGGAAATAAATATCTGTTTTTCATTTATAGGAGAAATAAGTTATGTAGAAAAACTAATATTAATTTACAAAGTGATTACTTTATTGATTTTGGAGCTTCTAAAATCTAAATGCATCCGTAAATTTCCTATCCAAAATTTAAATTTAAAAATATTTTTCTATGCATTTGTAATAATTTAAAATGGTCCATCCAACTGTATTTATAAGCTTGCAAATAAATAAAAAATGTTAAATGAGCACAAATGAACCACTGAATATCAAATTTCATAGGAGTTTTAAAATTAAAGTGATGCATAATAATTTTAACGCAGATTTGAATGATTTTCAATTTTTTTAAAGCATAATTGCATGCAAAATATCAAGCAAAAACAATGCTTTAAAATTGAAGCCCATTTGAGAACCTTTTTATCTTTTTAGTAGTGTTGGACAAAACTCTCGGATCGAACTGAACCGAATCGAGTGGTTCTTCTTAAGTTAAAAACCCAAACGAGTATCCGAATCGAAAATCAACGGGTTTCGTTCAGTTCGATTTTCGGTTCTAGATCAAGAACCGAAGAATTGAATAAGAATGAATCTCGCTAATTTTTTAAATTAATTTATTTTAAAAAAACCAAATTATTTTATTTTTTCTAAATAAATTTGCTAACTAGTTAATTTAACTCAAACCCAAAAATATGATTTTCTTATTTCTAATTTTCAGTTCAAAGCCAACTTAATAAAATATACCTAAGTTTTATTCAAATCTGTTACTCTATCGTAATGCCATGTTATGGAGAAATCTAATTGAAACTCAATAACGCTTCTCTTAATTATTGTGAGTTTACTATCTTATTTTTTTCTGTGATTTTAATAATCAAATTTATGAAGAATTCAGCAAAGGGAGATACAAAAGACACATAAAATTGAACTACGTTATTTTGTAAAAGTTAAAATTGAACATATCATTAGCTGACTTAATGTAGTTTTGTAAATATTAAAAAAAATTAATTATAATACGGAACCGAATGAAATCGAACCGAATTGAATCGAATGGAACCAAACTCGAACCGTTCCATAATTAAATTTGGACCCGAGAGTTCCACTTACTAAATACCCGAAAAATTCGGGTCCGATTCTAGTCCAGCCCTACTTTTTTAGTGTCAACTTGAATTTTTAACTAGGTTTCAAGTAGGGGCAAACAAAAAATCCATCAAATTTGATTTGGGTCACACTCGTCAATATTTTGATTTTGAATCGAATTAAAGTAAAAAAATTATTAACCGTTCGATTTAGGTTTACAATCGAACATATTGGTAACTAAATAAGTCAGCGTAAAATTATGGCAGTTGTACATGACATAGAGTCCGTTTGGCAGAACTTTTAAAAAATCAAAAGCTATTCTGAGACTAATAAAGTGTTTTTGAACGGGTTTAGATAATTTTCTGGACATATTTTTATTTGACTAAAAGAGTTTATAGAGTAAGTTGATCTAGGACAACTTTTTTATTAAATTTTTCTATAAAAAGTAAAAGCAAAAGCCCTAATTTATTTATTTATTTTGTTTTGTTTCCGAAAATTCTACTAAAAAACACAAGGGCCGTTTGGCCTCCATTTCGTAGATATGAAAATGGGAGAATAATGTTTTTTTTGAAAAATGAATAATTGAAAAAGAAGGAAAAATTTTCGATTTAAGTATAATATTATTTTATAAAAGATTGAATGATTGAAAATGAGAGAGAGAGAAAAATAAAATGTAATGAAATTTAAATTAATGGAGGCCAAACGGGAGCAAAACTTTATAGGCCCGGTGGCCTCCAGCTAGAAATGGCACATCGAGCTTCACTTTTTACGTAGACAGATCGGCCCACCAAAAAATGTAGCCGGGCCCTCTACCCCTGGCTATTTCCTCAAATAACGCTTTCACAGACGAGAAATGGAACAGATCAAGCTGTAAAAATGTCAGCAATATGAAGCTCTGTACTTTCACTGCATATTACTTTTTGATCACTCTGTATTCAATTGAATAGATGAATGAACAGACATGCCCGGTTAATCAAGCTGGGCCTGGATACCAACGCAATCCACGCCACGAGACTCGTCAATGACTACTCATTGCGTCATGCACACCAAGTGTTCGATCAAGTGTTGCACAGGGACACAACCCTATGGACCGCTCTCATCTCCGCTTACGTCCAATCCGGACCGTCTCATTGTTCCCATGCAATCCGCCTTTTCTCGATCATGGCCCGGGAGCAGGGTCTGGATAGTCGGCCGAATCACTTCACCGTCACTACAGTTGCCCGAGCAGTAGCTTCTGCCCCGGAACACTTATACATGGGAAAATCCCTCCATGGATACGTCATCAAATCTGGGATGATGTCGAGAAATGTTGTTGTTGAGACTGCTTTTACGGATATGTATGCGAAATGTGGGGATGTAGACTGTGCACATAAACTGTTTGATGAAATGAATTCGAGAAATTTGGTTACGTGGAATGCTATGGTTGCTGGGTTTGTACAAAATGGGCTGGAGAAAATTGCGTTGGAATTATTTGTGAGAATGAAGTGTTTGGAGAATTATTTTCCTGATGAATGTACTATCTCTACTGCGTTATTAGGTGTTGCTAACATTCAAGACTTGATTTTTGGTTTACAGATTCATGGTTACGCTATTGTAAGTGGGTTAGATTCGAATTGCTTGAATTCAATTGCTCATATGTATTTTTGCTGCGGTCAAGTAAACCAGGCTGAGAAACTTTTTGGTGGGGTAGAAGGAGACATTGCTTCAAAGATGATAAAAATTAGAGGTTTTGTTTATAATCAAAGATACTGTGAGGTATTGAAGCAATTTTGTTTGGATAAGAATCCTGCTGAGATTTTCAATTGGGATTACACGATAATTCTGCCTATTTTAACTGCTTGCACAAAGCTGTCTTTGCTCAGAGTTGGGAAGCAAGTTCATAGCATTTTTATTACATTGTTTGGTTCTTGTTTTCACTCTAAGTTCTCAGAGGATGACAACGTAATTCTAGGAAGTGCATTTATCGACCTGTATAGCAAGTGCAGCGTTATTGATGATGCTCAGAAAGTTTTTGACCATTGGATGCCCGAACGACGGGTTTCTCATTGGAATGTGCTGATATTTGGGTACATATATAATGATTTGATAGAAGATGCTAGGAGATTGTTTGATGATATGCCTGTCAAAAATGTGGTTTCTTGGACAAGCATGATGACAGGGTATGCACAGAATGGTAGGCCCCAAGAAGTCCTAAAGTTGCTGGATAAAATGTATAGTGATGAAGAAGGATTTAAAGTAGAAGGAAATTGCTTAACATTTGTGGTTGGCCTTGAATCCATTAGCCTTTTATCAGAGATAGAGAAGGGAAAGCAAGTACATGCAAAGATCATTCGGAGATTTATTAGTGCCGATACTTGTAATGTGATTGTTGGGACGGCTTTGGTAGACATGTATTCAAAATCAGGTAATATGAAATATGCTAAAACAGTCTTTGACAAGATGGTTGAGAAAAATACCATTGCATGGACTTCTATTATTACGGGATATTCAGTTCATGGACTTGGTTTTCATGCCCTCAAACATTTTCAGCAGATGATGGAAAAAGGTATTCAACCAAATGAGGTGACATTCATTGCTGTATTAACTGCTTGCAGTCGTTGTGGTTTGGTGGAAGAAGGATTGCATTATTTTGAACTGATGAAGACCAAGTATAATCTGATGCCCAGGGAAGATCATTTCACCTGTCTAATGGATATGTTGGGACGCCTAGGCAAGCTGGATGAAGCATGGCGCTTGCTAGAGGAAATTGAAGACACCGAATTGGGAGAAAGATTCCCGTCTGGTACCATTTTGGCAGCACTGTTGGGCAATTGTCATGTACATGGCAACGTGGAAATAGGCAAGAAGGTAGCTAAAAAGATGTTGCAACATGGAAAACAAGTTTCTACTACCCATATTACTCTTTCTAATGTTTATTCATCAGCTGGAATGTGGAATGAAGCATTTGGAGTAAGGATGAACTGGAAGAAAGACGGTGATGAAAATGCAGAGCCTGGCCTTAGCCGAATCTGCACTCATCCACAGGTTTATTGATCTGGAGTTCTGGAGGTTTTAGAAAAGTGCATATTTATCTCCTTGAGTGTCACCTTGGAAGAAATTGTTTATTCTTGGGTTCTGGTGGTGTAGGATCATTTATCTCAGCACCCTAACAGAGCAATTAATTTAGAGAACCCGTCATTTGTTAAATATAACTGAATTAACTTTGGTATTTGATGAATTTGTTTCAGCCAAGCAAAATTGCTATTATGAAGAAATATGCTTGGTTTACGAGTATATTTTGCCCATTTCTCCTCAAGGACAACTTAAGCGGTTGAGACAAAGTCTTACAAAGACAAGTTTCAGATGCAATATCAACATAGCATGTTAGAAGATGGAGAGTAAGACCAAAATTAATGTGATGAATTAAGTTGTATTGGATCTTTTGGTTGACATTGCGATGTAGCAATGAACTGAAAAGGATGAGGAAAGGAAATTTTTATTACCTACCTTGAATTTATTGATAATAATAGTTTATGGTATCCAAATTAAGTGGTAAAGATGCAAGTTCAAAAATATTGGCCATGTTTAACGTTATACGACAAAGTTATTGAGAAAATACTGAAGAAAATCAAGTTGTGCAGATTTCTGAGGAACTACATCATGTTCCATATATATCAGTTTGACTTAGCTTTGTATGAAAAATCAGGCTCTGATGTACAAGGAAAATTCAACAGGCTCGCCATATTTGAAGTCTATGATGGGGACTACAGGGAAATAGACAGTTGCAACCTATTGTTTTTATGTTCTGTATGGATTTGTTTTTTGCTTAACCTTTGTGTATAAATTAGGAGTAAACATCTTGTACAATCTCAATTCAATCATTACGAATTCCTTGGTATCCAAGATAAAATAGTCCTCTTTTATTATGGTATCAAAGCTGGAGCTTTGAACCTCTCTTTCTCACCAATGGTGTGAATCTTCTTCTTCATCAAACCTCATTATGGTTGAACCTCACCAACATGCAGATGATTTTTCCAATCCCTATTTCCTACATCATGGGGAAAGCCCTGGACTTGTTTTATTCTCACAACCATTAACCCATCATAACTACCATTCTTGGAGTAGAGCTATGTATGTAGCCCCTTTAGCCAAAAACAAATTAGGTTTCATTGATGGCACCATAAAAAATCTTGTTGAGACTCATGAGAATACTCACAGAGGCAGAGGTGCAACCACATGATCCTATCTTGGATCACAGACAGTCTCTCACTTGAGATTGGCAAATATATCATATTCTCTGACTTTGCATCAGAAGTGTGGAGTGAGCTCAAGAAAAGATTTGCAAGATCAAGCAATAACATGATCTTCCAAGATCAAGCAATAACAGGATCTTCATGCTTGAACAACAGCTGTCAGCAACTAAATAAGGAAAGAATCCAATAAGTGTATACGTTTCCAAGTTGAGTAGCTTTTCAAATATTCAGCAGCAAATTGTGGTGCTGTTTCGAAGCTGAACAAAAGGCTAGAGAGAAGACTGATCATGTAATTCCTTATGGGATTGGATGACACCTAAGTCAACCTAAGGAACCGGATTCTAATGAAGGATCCGCTGTCCTCATTAGATAATGTATTCAACCTTGTTTTACAAGGTGAGGCTAATCATGAGCTTACTAATCCTATCCAAAATGTTGCGGAATCTGTAGCAATGCCAATCAACAGTGGCAATAATCTAAACCAGAGGAGAAATGCCAAGGAAAAAGTAACTACAAGGGATCAAGTTCTAAGGACAAAGCACCATGTACGAAATGTGGGAAAACAAACCATACCGTGGAAACTTGTTGGGAATTCCATGGATACCCTCCAAACCACAAATTACATAAACCAAAACCTAGAAGCGAAACCAAGCAGAAGCTGACCAACAATGTATCCTCTAGTGAGGGCTCGGGAGTTGTAAGTCTGAACATCTCACCAGATCAGATACACCATCTCATAGCCCTTTTGAAAAACTAAAATTACACCTCATTCAATAGCAACTCAGAAAATCAAGGAATAAATTTGTCAAACAGCAATTATAAATTTTTTAGTACTTTACCTATATCCTTCAGACACTCTTTAAGCTGTACAAATACCATCACCAGTGGAAGCACATGGATTCTCCACAGTGGGGCAACTTATCACATCATAGGATCATTTGACCTACTTGTGTAGAGAAAGTCTCTGCAAAATGTCTCAATCAACTTGCCTAATGGCACTACGGTACCGGTTTCACATATAGGGACAATTATTAATTCTTCTACTCTTACTCTAAAAAGTCCTATACGTGCTTAACTTCCATGACAACCTTATCTCTACAAGTCAGATTAGTCGAGATCGAAATGCTTTTTTTCATTTTCTTGGCTAAACAATGTTTTATTCAAGAGCTAAACAACTGGAGTACGATTGGAGTTGCTAGAGAAAAACAAGGACTCTATTTTTTAGAGAAGAGCCAGCTCGGGGACAAGCTACCATCTCACCAATATGTAGCCAACTCTTCATCTGTTTTGACACCAAAATTGTGGCATTTTTTATTAGGATACACTCTGATCAACGCTTCAATTTGTTGCATGGTATAGAGCCTAATATCCCTCTTTTTGTCGTCAAGCATCAATGTGAAACTTGTCATATTGCTAAACAAACCCATTTGTCATTTAAAAAGAATAAAAAATTTGTTGATACACCTTTTGATCTAATACACATGGATATTTGGGGCCCTTTCTCTTTTAGTTCATTCAATGGTGCTCATTACTTTCTTACAATTGTTGATGATCATAGTCGAATGTCATGGATTTACCTCATGCATTGTAAGAGCCAAACAAGGAAAATCATAGAGAGTTTCTTCAATTTTGCTGAAGATCAATTTCAATGTCAGATTAAAGAAATAAGATCTAATCAAGGAAAAGAGTTTCAAATGACTGAATTCTTTGCTTTAAAAGGTATAGTTCATCAACAAAGTTGCATCTATACCCCTTAACAAAATTCCATTGTTGAAAGGAAACGAGGAGGAGTTGGGGTAGGGGGTTGTGATTTTCCTTTTTGCTTTTTTAATTTTTAAGTTAATACGAAAAATGAGATATGTCCAAATTGCCCTTGCTGTATTTGGGAAAGATAATCAGATTTTTAATTTCTGGGGTCAACTGACGGATTTTGGGGTCAAACAGACAGAAACCGTCATTTTGGACTTGAGCTGCATATTTTTTAAAGGTTTGGTACTCACGATGGCACAAATCAAAGGTTTGGGCAAAGTCTGCTAATAAACGAAAGGTTTGGAACTTCGGTTGCAATTTTCCCCATATATATATATATATATATATAACCTGCCCATTAAGTGCTATCATCACTATGGATCCTGGATTGGTCCTCATCACTTTTGTCGCATACGACCTTAATAACACAAATTGTTCTTTGATAGTCTTATTAATCAATTATTTCTCATATCTTCTAGCTTTCCAAGCTACATTTCGAGTAATATTTACCTTCAAGTCTTCCTTCACAATTGCTTGCATGCTTCTCGTTTTCCACTCTGGATCTACCTTGAAATGCTCAATGTACGATGGACTATGAAAATGTAGGTACAATGACGATTGTATTGATCCCTACTGCATGTGTGGTGAGGCGTATATGACTTCACTTGGACCGTGTTCGACTTATTCATCTTTGAAGCTCATATTTTTCATTGGCAATCTGATTTACAAATGGCCTGAACTCTATTTTCATCATTCACCTTACACTTCACATTATATTTATTTATTACATCGTAAGATCGAATTGCCTTCCTAAATTCGTGTATAGAACTGAACAACTGAAAGACATGAAGCTGTGAATCCTACATATCTGTTTCAGCCATAAACTCTGGAAATCGATATCCAACCTCATCATCAGATGACATGTTAGACAACAATTCTTTCGATGATGGACATTCCAAATCATCGACATCCTCTTATTCGTTCTGTACCACTACATCATCGTCTTCTCGTTCAGTTCCCCTTTCATCACAACGTACCTCAATTCCTTCCATCACATTACTATCGAACAACCTATCATCTTCACAAGTCAATAAGATGTTATCTGAATCATTGAAGTCAGGGTCATCCTCCATATCTGTCACAGGAACAAGAAATTGAAAATGATTAACATAACATGCCGGAGAATAAAGAAGGTGGTAATCACGCAAGCCATTGCATTTTTTATTTATGAAAGTTTGAAGGTAGTATAATTACGAATGCAAGCTTCACATGAATGTTTAATATAGAACCTCAGACACCAAAAAACAAAGCAGGTTTTTGGGAAGAAGACCGGAAACATAAAAGGAATGCACCACCAACATTTTCTAATGCGCCAAAAAAATTTGTTCTTTACCTCCGCGTGGACCCTCCATGTGGGAGTGTTGAAAACACCAATGTTCGTGGTCGGGGTGGGGCCTTCGACGATGATGTAGGGTCAGTTTCAGGTTATTGTTCACGACGTGTAATGGAATCGACCAGCCAAGCCTCCAGCTATGCATTTTCAGGAGGCTAGGGTTCTAAATCTCACGCTTTAAATGTTATAAAGGGTGACGCGTGTTTGGGGGGGTTTGGGGATTAATGACATGGCAGCACTATGTTGAGTTGGAGGGAGTTAATGGCTAAGCGTCGGAGCCGTCTTCCACATAGGCGAAAGTAATAGACGAAATTAACCCGGTGAGTGATGGAGTGCAATGTTACAAAAGTTGAGTGAGTGATAGGGTGCAAAGTAAAGTTCGGCGAGTGAAACGTGACACTTTGTAAAGTTCAATGAGTGTTGAAACAATTAACTCCAGCATACAATGTCCCGTAGCTGAGAAGATCCACTAGGCAGCGACAGCAACCTGGCTATCTCCAAGATTTCCATTGTTGACATGTAACTTCTCTAGCAAATCCACATGGTTCTCCTACTGCACAGCAAATGGATGAAGGTAAATCTTATTCCCTTTCCTCTGTTTTAAATTATGATAACATGTTCTTAGCTCACCATAGTTTCAGCTTAGCCATTACCATGGAGCCCGAACCCACTTCTTTTGCCACTGCTAACCAGTACTCTCACTAGAGAATAGCCATGCGAAATGACCTAACCGCTCTTAAAGCAAACAACACTTAGGAATTGGCCATACCATCGAGAGGCAAAAAGATCGTGAGATGTAAATAAGTGTTTAAAACAAAACACAAGGTAGATGGTACCATTGAGAGGTACAAAGCACATCTTGTAGCCAAGGGATATACATAGAAAAAGAGGGAGTATTATTTCGAGACTTTTTTCCCGATTGCTAAAATGCCCACAATCCGTTGCCTATTGGCCATTGCAGCTTCTACAGGTTGGTCTCTTTACCATCTTTATGTCAATAATGTCTTTCTCTAAGATGATTTGGAAGATGAAGTTTATATGTCATTACCACCAGGATAAGGTAGAGTGGGGGAAAATCGTGTATGCAAGCTGAATGTCCATCTATGGTTTGAAATAAGCTCAAAGGCAACGGAATCACAAGTTAACTTCGGTCATCACCAAAATTGGGTTCACACAATCCAAAGCCGACTACTCATTGTTCTTCAAAAAGGCGAACACCTTTTTCACTGTGATGCTTGTTTATGTTGATGATATGGTGATAGGGGGAGACAATGAGACTGAAGTTCAACACTTGAAAGAGTACCCAAGAAAACATTTCAAAACAAAAGACCTTCGATGATTGAAATATGTTTTGGGGATAGAGATAGCCCGCTACTCAAAAGGGATTTCCATACGCCAAAGAAAATATGCATTGAAAATTTTACAAGATTGTAGATTAATTGGAGCCAAATCTGTTCAATTTCCAAAGTAACAAAATTTGAAGCTAAACGAGGAGGAAGGACTCGAAGTCGCTAATGCAAAGGAGTATAGAAGGTTAATTGGTCGATTGTACTTAACGATCACATGTCCAGATATCTCTTACTCTGTGAAAGTCTTGAGTCAATTTCTAAGCCAACCGAAAATGGCCCACTTGATAGTAGCTCTTAGAGTTGTGAGATACATGAAAGGATCTCTATCACAAGGTTTATTTTATCCAGCAAACAACTCGCTGAAGTTGACAGCGTTCTACGATACCGACTGGGCAGTATAGTCGGAAGCAAGGAGATCAATCATTGGTTTTTGCATTTTTTTTAGAGATGCCTTGGTCTCTTGAAAATCAAAGAAACAAAAAACTGTATCTCAATCATCAATGGCCTCTACCACATGTGAATTGGTTTGGTTTTGGAGCCTCTTATAAGACTTTTGTATAACTCTCAGCCAACCTGTTCAGTTGTTTTGCAATAATCAACCCGCCATTCACATTGCATCCAATCCAATTTATCATCAAAGAACAAAACACATTGAGATTGATTGTCACATAGTTCGAGAAAGGATCCAAGAAGGTTTATTGAAACCATTTCACATTTCTACAAATTTACAAGTTGTTGATATTTTAACCAAGGCAATCAGATCTAGACAGTTTCATTATTTGCTAAACAAGATGGGTATCCACTCTATAGCTTCTCCATATTGAGGGGGATTATTGAGAAAATACTGAAGAAAATCAGGTTGTGCAGATTTATGAGGAAGAGCTACATATGCAGTTCCCTATGATGGGGACTACAGGGAAATAGACAGCGGTAGCCTATTGTTTTTATGTTCTATATAGATTTGTTTTTTGCTTAACCTTTGTGTATAAATTAGGAGTAAACATCTTGTACAATCTCAATTCAATCAGTACGAATTCCTTGGTATCCAAGATAAAATACTCCTCTTTTATTAATAGTCAAGAAATTAAGCAAAAACTATGAATGCATACAATAGATGCTGTATTTCTAGCAACTCCAGGACTTATATCCCTGGTAAAGATATGATCATGGTTTCAAAGGGAAATCACTACTTTATATGTAGCTATCTAAGCCACTGTGATGGGGGATCAAAGATTGCATTCTCTGCTTCTTGAGGAAAATCTTCTTCCTCTGTGTCAAATTTTCTGGGTTTTCCATGATGGTTACTTTGCCAGCCGTCGTGAATAATGTTTAGAATGAGCGCCTTTGTTACAAAAAAAGGTACACTCATAATTTTACGTCATTTCTAACTTTGATGCATGCAGTGTTATGAGTTTCTTGTTAAAGTTCAAACTGTTGTGAAATCATATCGTTTAGGGCATGCTTGGTTGGAAGAATTTGTATCTATTAGATCTACTAGTGCAAAATATATAACTTGCTCCATGTTCCATGTTCCAAAAGTTGGACTTGCTTAAGAATCAAACTACTCAATTTGACAGGCTCCAATGCCTTCATCGCTTTTCACTCCAACTTTGTAACCTCGACTTATTCTTGCCTTCAATTGCAAAGATGGACTTTGTTTTTTAATTGGAACGTATGCTCCATGGCTTACATGAGATCAAGCCGTTTAGCGACCATCTTTTCTTTGTGTGCCACATGGACTCGACGAGGTCTAATGAGCCACGTGAATGACCTCATAATGTCCAAGTATTAACTCAAAAAAAGTCTTAAATCTCAGTCTGAAAATAAGACAATATGCCACCAAGAACTGAAGGAGCTTAATAAACTACATTCTACATGTTCAACCAATGGTGCAAATGGCAAAATTGGTTCCCACATTTTTCTCTCTTAATACCTCACATCCCTTCTAATTCTCCCCTCCATCTCTTCATTTTCCGCGGAAATTTCGTAAACAAAACAAAACTATTTATTCTTTTCCCTACATAGATTTGTTGAAATGTTAATTTTATCGTGAGTCAAAAGATTTTATTGTTTTAACATTCCCTTCATCTTCAACATATCTTTGGTGCTCTTTTGATTGATTGAAAAACATTTTGAAAAATAAAATTTTCATAGCCCTTTTGTGTAGAAAATTTTGAAATTAATTGGAATATTTGTCGGTGAAGATTGCAAATGAGCTGTTTTTCATGTTTTTCATCCCGTGAAAAGAAATTATCCAAGAATAATAGTGGCAGAAATAGACGGCCACCGCCTGCCACCCAACAGCACAGAGAGCTGCCGCCTCAGCGACGGCCGCAGCCACCACAATTACAATCTCAACAAAATTCCAAACCACAGCTTGGTAAGAATATCAGTTTTAATATTTTAAAGATAATAATCATACTTTCATAATCTTTTTACCCTACGGAGAGGCAGAATTGAGATATTTATGAGAGAATCTTTGCACGTCAAACAATATATAAATTGATAAGTTTCTCTCTGCTTAAGTTTTTAGATTAGGTGATTCAATAGAAATCCGGAATTCAATTATCAACTCCACCTATTTATGAAAGTTATTCATGTGTCACGCATTTGATCAAGAACGAGGCTGGCTTGCACACAAGGGTCAATAGAAGACAAAATTCAATTAAATTTGTTTGTCGTTCTTATCGGCTTAAATTTTTAGACGAGGGTGCTCCCAATACTTGCTGACATAATGATAATGGTTGCATTCGATGTAATTAGGATAAGTATTTGGACATCATCATGCAAATTAGACACTGGAATAGCAGTCAGTCTTATTGCTATTCAATCAAACTTTAATATAATCGCTTGTTGATTAGATAAATATAAGGATTATATATTTTTCTTATTATGCAGAAGACCCTAGAACGATACAAACAGAAACTACAAATAATAAAACTACTGAAAAAGGAGGAGGCAACAATAACATTGCAGCCCAAACTTTCACCTTCCGGGAGCTGGCTACAGCAACGAAGAATTTCAGACAAGAATGTCTTGTCGGAGAAGGTGGATTTGGAAGAGTTTACAAAGGTCACCTAGATAAAACTGGACAGGTAGTCTTACATAAATTCAAAAAACTTGGCATATTTCATTTAATTTCTTTCAACAAGCTGATAATAGGTCGATTAATCTAGATAGTAGCCGTGAAGCAACTTGATCGTAATGGACTACAAGGAAACCAAGAATTTCTTGTGGAGGTTTTGATGCTGAGCCTTTTACACCACCAGCATTTGGTAAATCTGATAGGATATTGTGCCGATGGAGAACAAAGACTTTTAGTATACGAGTACATGTCATTGGGATCCTTGGAAGATCATCTACTAGGTACTATATATATATATACATTATTGCATTTCGAGACTTGAACATTGAAGAAATTTGGTTTACGGCATGTGAAAATATACTATTCAACTGAGAAATTTGGTTACTTTATTTTTCAGATCTTTCACCAAATCAACCACCATTATCTTGGTTCACAAGGATAAAAATAGCCTTACATGCTGCAAGAGGTTTAGAATATTTGCACGATAAGGCCAACCCACCTGTCATTTACCGTGATTTAAAATCCTCTAACATCTTGTTGGACGAGGAGTTCAATGCAAAACTTTCCGATTTTGGACTAGCCAAGCTAGGACCAATAGGGGATGATTCACATGTATCTTCAAGGGTGATGGGAACATATGGCTATTGTGCCCCGGAGTACCAAAGAACCGGTCAATTAACTGTAAAATCAGATGTTTATAGTTTTGGCGTTGTATTACTGGAGCTAATCACAGGAAGAAGAGCAGTTGATACTACAAGAAGACATGAACAGCAAAATCTAGTAACCTGGGTAAGTTAAATCCTCTTTTCTTTCCAGTTTTTCTTCACAAACATAGACATTATTACATTTATTGTTTGAACTTGAATTCCTAGTACTATAATACTAAGACAAAACTCTTGTTACAGGCTGAACCGATATTCAAGGAACCGAGTAAATTCTCAGAACTGGTTGATCCACTGCTAAAAGATGATTATCCAAAGAAAAGTTTCAATCAAGCGGTTGCTGTTGCAGCCATGTGTCTTCAAGATGATGCATCGATCCGGCCTTTAATGAGGGATGTTGTTACTGCACTTAGTTATCTTAGTGGACCTGAAACAGGATTGGCTTCGGCTGTTTCGTCTCCCTCGCCTTCTCCATGTCCATCTCCTCAGAAGAATGAAATTACAGCAGATGAACGAAAGAGAGCAGTTGCAGAAGCCATAGAATGGGGCTCGAATTCAAGAAACAACGTGAAAAATCTAGCCTGATATCCCATATGTGGTTTTGGTTTTCATTATATGTGTGAATAGTACAAACTAAGCAATGTTACTAGTCCGGTTAAGGAAATAGGGTCACTAGAGGTTGACAGCTAGCGTAAAACTTTGTATATAACAACATGAATTCTCTAAGTGTGGGGTTTATATTACTTACACTAGAATGAGAATCAATTATGGAGATGATGAGATGAATGTTCGTCCCATAAGAAAATTTATTTGCGACATTCTGAAGGCCACCAAATTTTTGTTCTAGATTCTGAAAGCCAAAAGCTAAACAAGATCCCTATAAGCCCTTATTTCGGTGTAGATTAAAAATTAGATTTTTAGTTGATTTTGATAAAAGATGATGAAATATATGATTGAAAGTTGTGAATCCTATAAAATGTGTTATTCAAATCAATTGTCGAGTCTGAATTGAAATTTTTAAAAGCTTTTAAACTTCACAAATAGGGATTAAAGGATCCCATCCCTTGAAAGATAGTTTCTTCCCTCTTAAACCAAGTATCTTCGATTGAGATGGACTGGGCAAAGTTTGTCTATATCCATCTCGACCATTAGAGCATGTTTGGTAAGTGAGGAGGTTTATCATGAGTAAATAAGTATATTTCAAAATAAATATTTTTTAATTGATCAAAGTAGAAAATAAGATTTTTTTTTTTAACACTATAGCAATAATTACATAAATAAGTAACTTTTTATTTAAAAGTGATAAAAATCTAATTTGCTTGAGTGTGTTTAGAAACAAATTTACTTAAATTATTGCTTTTTTAAGCTTAGCCAAACATGAAATCTTGATGACCAGTTTAAATTTATGTCGAATTTGACATTACACTAATCTTATTAGCACTTGTTTTAGCCCAATTCTCTAAAAATTCAATTTTTCCTAAACTCATTTTCCTCCATTTTTTTAAATAAAATAATTTTATAAGAATTGGATTTTCGTACTTTTTAACTATACATTTTCTAAAAAATCACTATTACAGAACTCATTTTTCGCAAAAAATAGCTCAAACATAACCTTAGCAATTTATTAGTTTCATATTGATAAATGAATGTGCAGCTAAAATAACAGTCTGACTTAAACAAGAGAATTTTTTATGTTTGCACAAGATCATACTTATTTTTATGTTTTTATATCAAATGCAATCGACATCTCTATCTTGATCTCGATCTCGATCATGATCACTAAATAATTAAATTACTCATTTATTTATTCGATAAATATCTATGTTATTTTGTGTGCAACTATAAAAGTTTGACACATTACACATGAAACAATTCATATGTTGTAGGGACTATGATACGCATTGAGACGTGCTTAGAATTGCATGTACGATATTTTTGCTAGTTTTTTGGGGTCAAATGTTAATTAGTCTTGATAAGCTCTACTTTTGCATATTGAATTGATAATAGTAAAAGTAAGAAAGAAAGAAATGATCATATTATTAAAAAAAAAAATTAAAAAGAAAAGGAAGCCTTAGATGTCTTGAATTTAGAAAAGAATAAGTATATGCCAACCAACTACCAAGTTCTGAAATGATACTTTCATTTATTTATTTATTTATTTGATGACTATGGGTGTCCGGTCAACTTACGTGTACCTTGACTAATTTCACGGGAATTTGAAGTTTACAGTTGAGTACTCACTTCAATAACCTTGAACTAGTGACCATTGGAGAGCAAACTCAATATGTGACCATTGAGCTTTCCTTTTGGGTTAATGATACTTTCATTTATGCCACCAACTCTTTTTTTTTTTTTTTTTTTTTTTTTTTTTTTTTTTTTATTNTTTTTTTATGATTCTTTATTCATGATTAATTTCACAGCATCTTCAAGGGCATTTTGGTACCCCTTCACGTGTCTTCAAATTGTTGTAACACGGACAACATTCCGTAAGTTCTTGGTCGGAAATATCTTTGTCAACAGTAGTTGCAAAAAAGCTAACAGGGCTTTTTTATTAGAGGTTGCTAAGCACTTTCGTTCACGGGCACTTCCATAATCTAAGACAAAAGGATAATCGTTCAACATGATTTAATATTTTCAATTACAGTGTTAGGGCACGAAAACGTACTTTATGTAAAGTCGAAATAAAAATGATTTTTTTTTTTTTAACGTCTATTTCAAAGAATCAAAGCATCAAAGAGTTCTCTAAGTTTTCAACGACCTAGATCCTACACAAGGAACAAAATGTGAAGATTTGTAAAAATACTATCTAAAATATATTTAGACAATTCATAATTTTTAACTTAGCAAAACATCGATGATTGAAATGGAGGAAATTTGTTTTATTTCCTCCATGTCAATCATCGGTGTTTCGCTTATAAGTTAACCTTGGTGGAAATTTTTCGTTCTAACTTGTGCTTGAATTTTATTTTGTTTTGAAGGGAGAATTAATAGAAATTTAAGAATTGAACTTGGTAAAAATAACTTCGTTTGGTAATTGTTTGTATAGAAGTCACCTACCATAATATTAATTACAAATAATTAAATTGACAAGTATTTCTAATCAATCTTTGGTAAGTAATAAAGTCCCTTTGAATTCATGTAATCAGATTCTTGATATATACATGCATTTTCTTGATATTATGGTAATAACATAATGTTGAATTCAATATACTTTGAATACGTTGGATGATTTCTATCATTGTAGCTTAATTTTGTTTAGATTATCTAAATTTGTTTAAAGATTATGCAAGAATTAATTTTATACATTTGTATTTGTCACATATTTGACATATAGGGGATGTAATTTATTTAGGAAATGTAAACTTTTATTGCAACGGATAATAATGGATTTAATTTTATCTACACAATTAGTGCTCCAATGAAATTAATTGGGATGTTTTATGTTTATCCTCCTCTAGTCAACCAAATAAAATTAATCTGTTTTTTTTTTTTTTTTGGATATTCAGGTATCCACCTTACAGTGACTAGATCCTAGAGTCTACACCTTGACCTATCAAGTTGCAGACAAGTTAAAATAAAATAAATTATATAACCGAATTTATTTATAACTAAAAAAGATTACTTCAAACAAAAGTTTCACTCTAAGGAAAAAATAATAATACAAATATTCATTTATAGGTTAAAAAACTCATATGAGTAAAAAATCACTTTTAAGAAAAATTATAAAAATTCACTTATAAGTTAAAAAAAAAAAAGTTGCAAACTTTATATATATTGGATGAATTCCTTCATAGTAGCTTAATATTGTCTAGATAGATGGGAGAGGAAGAGAGAATGGAAGGGTGAGAAACTAGATGCTATGAGATCTTAGATGGACATGCGACGTATTCCAATGAGCATGGTGGCGACGACAACAACTGTGGACTATGGGCAGTGATGCAGTTCTTGGAGAAAGCGAGTAGAGAGAGATGGGAGGAGAAGAGATAACGGATGGGAGCTGGAGAGAAAGAATAGATTAAGAAATAATTAGGGTTAGGAAATGAAGATGATATTAAGTAAGGTGGATATGTAAAATAATTTAATCTTTGTAATATTATTATTAATATTTTTACTAATTTAATCTGATTTTTGTATATAAAAACTTTAAATCTGATTCTTGAAATGGAATATTGAAAATGAGTAAATGTAACCAATGCTCACTGAACTTTAAACTTGTTACTGCTTATTCACTCATCTTTCACGCGTTACCGAATACTCACTCATCTTTTCATATAGTTACCCATTCACTACTCGTTTCTTCAAATAATTGGACAATTTTTGCGGCAACTTTCCGATAACTTCTGACCATTAAGACTGTCGGATTTTGATACCGTTGGAAAGCCCACGATATCCTCTTCAATTATCACCCAAAATCTCCCTATAACTCCAAGGGATTCGACCGGAAAATTGCTACAAAAGTCGTCAAAAAAATCTGAAAATCTGCCGTGATTTTTTGGGCGACTTTTGAAGCAATTTTTCGACAACTTTCGACCACCAAAACTGTCGAATTTTGATACAGTTGTAAAACCCACAATATCATCTTCAATTACCAACCAAAATTTCCTTATAACTCCAAAGGATTCGGTCGGAATAAACCCATAAAGTCAGCATCCCAAACTGTCCAGATTTTCGCCTTTTCGAGATACTGACTTTGTAGATTTATTCCCACTAAATCCTTTGAAGTTATGGAGAAATTTTGGATGGTAATTGAACAAGACATTATGAGTTTTTCAACGGTATCAAAATTCGACAATTTTGGTGGTCGAAAATTGTTGAAAAATTGTCGCAAAAGTCGTCAAAAAATTTGCCCAGATTTTCATATTTTTTGGGCGACTTTTGCGGTAATTTTTCTATCGAATTATGGGGAGATTTTGGGTGGTAACTGAAGAAGATATCGTGGGCTTTCCAACGGTATCAAAATTCGACGATCCTGATGGTCCGAAGTTGTCGGAAAGTTGTCGCAAAAATGACCCAATTATTTGAAACGACGAGTGGTGGATGGGTAACTATATGGAAAGATGAGTGGGTATTCAGTAACGCGTGAAAGATGAGTGAGTAAGTAGTAATAAGTTTAAAGTTCAGTGAACATTGGTTAAATTTACTCTATTGAAAATTCTGGTTGGATGTAATTTTCACTTTTTAAGCCCCTGTTTGATCCTTATTAAATTAGATTACATTACATTCCATTTTTCTCTCTCCTATTTTTAATCACACAATCTTTTATAAAATAATATTACACGTAAATCGAAAATTTTTCTGTCTTTTTCAACCACTTATTTTCTTAAAAAATACTTTTCCTCTCATTTTTATTTCTAGGTAATGGGCATCAAATAGGGGCTAAATTTATATTAATGCAACTGGTATCAAAATGGACCGTCCAACTTTATCTTGAGACTCGGGCAGAGAAATGACCGAGGCCCAACAAAAAATTGGGTCCAGAACATGACGCAGGAGAGCCGAAGATTCAGATTTCCCTTCCCAGATAATCNAAATGACCGAGGCCCAACAAAAAATTGGGTCCAGAACATGACGCAGGAGAGCCGAAGATTCAGATTTCCCTTCCCAGATAATCCGTTTACGGATTTGTGGAAACCTTTCGTTCAACTTTAAGAAGAATCGTTCCAGGAAACATGTAACACTCTTCCAATCATCGTATACCCAAAATTTTTCCTTTTCCAGAAACCGAAGATTCCACTCCATAACGATTCTATTAACAATTAGCAAGCTATTTCACGTTTGACTTTTGTTTTATGAAATTACACGTTCTGTTCTGCTCCGTTATTTTCTGTTTGTCAAACACTTTTTGTAATTAGTGTTATCTGGGTGTAGTGTTTGTATTTTAAAATTACTGAAATGGGATGTTGCTTAAATCTATATGCGCCATTCTGAAATTATTGGGTGAATTGTTTTGGCTTCCATTCTCTGTTCTTTCAAGATTTTTTGCATTTTTTTTAATAATGGTCGTTTGACATTGTTTTGATACAATTGCGCTGAAAAAGCGTGCAATTTTTTGTCAGATTCCTGCATAATATGAGATAATTTGTTGACCCAGAAGCTTTTAATTGTGTGATTTTTGGAAATAAGAGGTTTTTTGGTTGGTATTTGGAGAGAGATTTAGGATTCCCAAAAGAAGAAAAGTTAACCTGTAGTGGGGTAATTGAAGTTGAAAATTCATACTTATATCGGACTTTAGAGCAATGAAAAGTGAAGTGTGGAGATGGGCTGTGGGATTGTTCTATATATTCTTAGTTGCAACTATATGGATTGCTGCTAGTTTTGTGGTACAGACTGTTGTAGATGAAGGTGCGTCGCCATTTCTTGTAACATACATTTGCAATTCGATGTTTGTTGTGTATATTCCTTTAGTTGAGATCGTGCGATATTTGGAGGACAACTATGGAAATATATTCTTCTGGTTAAATAAGAATAGTCGTGTTACGCAAGAATTAGGAACTTCAGAGGAGGTGATTCTTCTCGATGCGGGTGGTCAAGCTGACAGTATAAGCACAGATGTGGTAGCACAACAAGAACAAGTGGATCACCATGAAGCAGAAGTTATTTTCACAAAAGGTACAATTGCCCTGGATGATAACAATACAGGATTGGATGCAAAAGGGCGATGGACACGTAGGAGAGTTGCAAGAGTTAGCCTAGTGATATGCCCATTCTGGTTTCTGGCACAACTCACATTTAATCTTTCTTTGAAGTATACTACGGTTACGGTAAGAATTTGTATTTTGTCCATTGGATTGTCCAAACTATTCTATTTGTAATGTATGATTGAGTTCCTTTTTCCTGCATGTGTACAGTCCAATACCATCCTAAGCACTGCCTCCAGTTTGTTCACCTTTCTAGTCGCTCTTGTATTCTTGGGTGAGAAGTTTACTTGGCTGAAACTGATCAGTGTTCTGCTTTGCATGGGAGGAACTATAATTGTCAGTTTAGGTGACTCAGAAACAGGATTAAGATCAATTGCTTCAAATCCAGTTCTTGGTGACATTCTGGCTCTTCTATCTGCAGGCTTCTACGCCGTGTATATTACCCTTATTCGCAAAAAAATGCCTGACGAAGATGATTCAGAAAGTGGCCATGCCAGTATGGCACAGTTTCTTGGATTTTTAGGTTTGTTCAACATCTTGATATTCCTTCCTGTTGCGCTCATACTTGACTTTGCTAAACTGGAGCCATTCAACACTCTTACCTGGAAGCAATTTGGTCTAATTGTGGGTAAAGGTATGTCTAAGTAAGATTTCTAGTGTCGGAATTGAATCTTCGATTTGTTCTTTAATTGCTTCAAGTCTTATTTTGAATAGCACTCTTCAACTCATTTATGTGCTTTAGCCTCTGACATAGATGCTTTGCAGCATTTCTGAAGTCGATAAACTCATTTCGCGTTTCTATTAGGATATACGTGTATTTTTGTTGGGTCTTTTTTAATTGAATATAATCATTTCTTGATACCATAGTATCTTATACATTGGAAATCACTAGAATTAACTCATGTTGATGTAATGAAAGAGCATCATAGCATAAACTTTGAAGATATAAGAAACAATAAACTCTTAAAGCTTGTTTGGCACAGATTTTCCCAAACGAAAAATGATATTTTGAAAAATGTGTGGTTAAAAAGTGGGGCAAAGTTGTGAGTCCCATAGAATGTGTTGTTAAAAATTATTTTGTAAAATCTGTGCAAACAAGTCCTTAGTTGATGTCAAGAATATTACATTGGTCTAGTGTCATAGGCTATAATGAATTGACATGGACACATCGACACATGATTTTTGAAAAAAATACTGACACGACGTCTACACGTTGATTAAATTCTTTAAAATTCTTCATTTGCACCGTATAAATTTAGTTTTATTCTTGTTATTAAATTTTTCAGTTGAAGTATTTTAAATATGAATACTTATTTGTTATTTAGTAATGACTTTTAATTGAAAATATGTAATATTTCTGATAAAGAAAGAAAAATGATTATGGTAGAGTGTTTGAGAAATGTCCATGTCACTCTGGTTGAAGTGTCCGTGCAACACATTTTACAGGTTTATCTGCCCAATTTTTTTCATTTGTACTGAGGCATATTTAAGTATTAATAAAAATCAGATCTGTATCTTCTTTTCCCTCATGGTGAGTTCATCCACCACGGTTATATCTGAAGGGGTGTTGTTCTAGAATGATTTTCTAACTGAACATTGCTAGTCTATCTGGGTTCTCTGTCTGTCAAGCATGACAAAATTGGTCATAACCTGAAGATGCACACAGCTAAGAAATTGTCAATATTATTCATGCTATTTCGTGAGTACACTCTCTTCCCATTGATCTGTTGGAAGGAAAATAAATCACAGGAGTGCGTATCTTGAAGAGTGTAAACAGGACAGAGAACAAAACTTGATATCTGTCTTACTGTAACTGCAATTCACTCATCAAAACCAATTCCATCCTGCCACATTTTTTAACATAATACCACAATTTTGAACTTATCAAAAGATGCATATCTTCATTCATGAGAAAGTGAGTTGGATTTATTTAGAATCCTTATTGTTACCAGAGGTAGAGGCTTAGAGCAATCCAAAGAGAGATGCTTGGGATTGAATACATAAATTGTTTTTCTTCTCTGTGCATGGTCTGGAGGTGTGTGGAAATCAAGTCTTTTTGTAACTGCATCAAGTCATGTTATGGTCTACCCCTTCCTCTTATAGCATGTCATGTTTGAATTGCTTTGCTCTCGTAGATGGGATTCTCTTTTGGTATGTGCAAGACACGTTCCTACAATCTAAGTCCTCATCATAGTTTATCCTCAAAATTGTGTCGCTTTTAACTGTTAGATATGTTATCATTTTTTTCCTTTCCTATTGTGATCATGCATCCATCTTAATCCATATCTGAGTCATCTTGTGGAAATTTTATGCTTTAATGACTCCACACTCGATGTTGCCATCCTTTGAACAATGGAGTATAGAAGCATTATAATTGTTTCCTTTGAACTTCACGAGTCACTTTATATACTTGCAAACGTCCATATTCAGGTTTGCTGGATAACGTGTTGAGTGATTACCTATGGGCCAAGGCCATCCTCCTTACAAGCACCACTGTAGCAACAGCTGGTCTTACAATTCAGGTTCCTTTAGCAGCTATTGTGGATTCAGTGACCGGAAATGCACCCCATCTCTGGGACTATATTGGAGCTGCTGCTGTAATGGTTGGTTTTGCCGGTATTAACATTCCTTCAGAAGCCTGTTCTGGAACTAAAGAAGCCAATCTCGAACTAGATAATGGAAACCTCGAACCATCTGGCCAACAAGGCTTATCGAGGTAAATGATAGGCTCTCCATTTCATCTGTCAAATAGTACAGTTAAGATGTATTGTACAATAATTTTGTTGAAGAAAATGAATTGCAGAAAGTTTATGTAGTTTGATTCATTACTACTTTTGGATGGATTCGGCAAAGATGGACTGCCTTTACTGTGCAATTATACCGCGATATAGAAACAATATTGGACAAAAGAAAGAAAATATGAATGCCATTTGCCTTTTCGACAAGAAGTTGATTTTTGTTATTCTTTGTGCTTCCTTTTCCCCCTCTTTTAGCTTATGTGCATGGATTTGGAGACGTGTGACATGATTTTTGAAAAGTCAAAAGAAGCTTTTGAGATCTAAAAGTTAATTTTGGACACATTCAACTAATTTAATGGAAGTTTTTTTTTTTTTGTTAAAAATAATTTTAGATGAAGTTGGTCAAATGTGACTTCCTTTAAAAACACTTCGAGAATAGGAAATTCTTTTGAAATTTAATTTTCAAATAAAAATTAACTTAGATTTCTCCAAAAGTTCTTCTAAATAAAGTAAAAGCAAAAGTTATGACAAACATTTGGACAGGACTTTTGAAAAGTCAAAGTAAGCTTTTGGGATCCAGAAGTTGCTTTTGGACTCATTCGATCAATTTTATGAAAATACTTTTAATTATAAGAGCTTTTAGATGAAGTTGATTTAGAGCATATTCGATAGTAATTATGAGGATTGATTTTTTGATCGTTAGAGAAAAAAATGGGTTTTACTTATGAGCGAAGAAGTAAAAAAATGACGGTTGGACTAATGAAAAAAGTTCAAAAAATTGATTTTTTGGGGTGAAAATTTGCTATCAAACGAGGGTAAACTATGAATTTCTCTAAAAGTATTTTTAGAATAGAAAGTTATTTTAAAAATTAGTTTTCAAAAAAAAATAAAAAATTAAGTGTATGTATGGTAGTGATTAAAGTTAGATTTTTTAATATATTGTGAGAGAAGTTTTTCAAATGTATGGTCGAAAAGTCGTACAATTTATGAAAGATGTGGTTAACATTAATTATTTGATTTTGACTTAGATTAAAATCTGATTTTTAATCTCTTCCAAATTAGCTCTAAGTAGCCTCATTTAATAGTTCATTTGCAATAAGCAAAAATAAAAATCATGCCAAATAAGCTTTAAATATGCATATTGTAGACACGTAACCTCTACTTCTAAAGGAAACCCAACAAGATATTTTGATAAATTTCTATTTTCCCAAAAGTTACCCTAAGAATCAAATTGCTTAGAAATCAAGTATGCGTTNAACCCAACAAGATATTTTGATAAATTTCTATTTTCCCAAAAGTTACCCTAAGAATCAAATTGCTTAGAAATCAAGTATGCGTTGTCTTTCTCTAGTAACATTTTACACATGGCACTCATGCTTTAAAGGCATAAAAGAAACGATTGTAGTAATCAAAATGAAAAACGAAAATGATCATTTACATTTTTATTTAAGCTACGTGTTCTTCTTATTTATAAATTATTTATAAATATTCAAACCATTTTTTAGTCACAAATTCATAAATACAATTTACTTATCGATCGAGAGTTTCTATTACATATATAATTCAAATCTTTTATACGGATCAATTTTTAATTTATATAGAAAATATATGTTTGTCAAGTTGAAATGTCAAATGTGTACCTAATTTCTCTCATTTTAAAGTCATTTTGGTCTAGAAGTGTTTTTAAAAATTGAAAGATATTTTTAAAATTAAGAAAACTTTAGAATGTTTAGATAATTTTTTGAAAGTGGTTAGATTAGAATAGCTTTTTCCTTGTAGAGAAAATTGGTATAGAGTAGTTTTCTCATAAATTTTTTTTACAAAAAACATAAGAGCTTGTTTGATAGGGTTTAAAAGTTGATTAAAATCAAATTTTTAATCGTTATTTTACTATTTCAGTCGTCATTTTTTAATTTTTCTCTCACAGATAGGACTCACTTTCTCTCTAACGATCAAAAAATCAATTATCAAAATTTCTATCAAACAAACACTAAGTAAAAATAGAAATCCTACCGAACGGACTTTTTGTATTTGCTTGTTTTATTCAACCTGTCTTAATATCGTATAATTTTTCTTTTTCCAAAGTCCACGCTCACCCGGTGGTGTCACGATCCGTAACTCTAGCGCCTCACTGTACAACATATAACGTGCCCCACCATCACCTTTCCCAAACCCAACTCTGAACCTCTATCAGCATAAACTCCGTCTAACTTCCGTACCGAGCCAAAGGCTGAGTCTACGTAGTATATAATGCCCGGATGCCATACCTCAGGTTCGGATCCCTACCTTGCGTCTTTCCCAGCTATTTTTTAGCTTTCGCATGGCTGATATTTTCTCGCTCTGTTCTGTATTCACTGTTCAAGTTGCGCTTCTTTCTTCGCTTGAGTTTTCATTTCTCTTTCCTATACATTTGATTTATTTTTCTCTCGAATAAGTGTTGATAAATCGAACAATTCATGAGGGTACGTTGTATGTATTCTTTAATTTTTGCAAGACTGCAAGTACTTGGATGTTCGTTGACTAAATAGAGCTTAATTGGACTGAAGCTCGCGATCTCTGTACGTATTTTGATAGGAGTACTCCAATTCCGGTTGAAATTTCAGAGATAAAGATTTAGTTGACAATTTACTAAGAATTTAAGAATTGAGGAATATTGGAAGTGAATTGAGAACAAATTTGCGGGATTGGATTTATTAATAGAGATCTTGTATAGATTATGTAAATTTGGTTAACTTCTCTTGTTTTTCTGTTTTTAATTTAAACTAGGTTTTTTTATGCGGAGATCTTACTTGTATCGTCAATGCATGACTTGATCTCTCTTGCTGGTAAGGTCGGGGACGAGAATTTTGTTACTTAGGTTTTGTGATTTTTTTTTTCCTTTTTAAAATTTATAGGCAGTTTTCTGATCAAATTGCGTTATCTTGTAACTGGGGTTTGTATCAGTGGGAGTGCAGTGACTGAGACTGACTGTAGCACTTTGTGGAGTGAGTGTTTGAAGTAATAAACCATGGCGCAGAGTAATTGGGAAGCAGATAAAATGTATGCTCTCACCAGCGTTTAGTTTGTAATACTTTCTCGTCTTTACTTTATTTTTATTTTTTATTTTTTTCATTTTCAATTGTTTTATTTACTTTGATAAAAATTAAGAAAGGAAACAAGCTGACGCTTTCAGGTTTCACCTTATTCATTTTATACATCATTTTAGTTCCAGAAAATAGAAAAAGAGTTGCCAGCTAAGATAATCTAGAAATTAGCTGTTGTCGTTAGCATTTAAATATGACTTTATATCGAATTTATGAGTTGGAAATCAAGCCAGTTTGTTGTTTTGAGTTCAGAATTATCAGCCGGCCTTTTGCTGACAGCAAGACAAAGATTTTCCAGTTTTGATCATATTAAGTAAGATAAAGTGATCCTACTGCCGATGCAAACTTCTAAATTTGATATTTTTGGACAGGCTTGATGTCTACATTCATGACTATTTGTTGAAAAGAAAATTGCATAATTCTGCCAAAGCTTTCATGGCAGAAGGGAAAGTTGCTACAGATCCTGTAGGTGAGGGGTTTGCTTTAGTTTATGTGGTTTGTTAATTTCAATGAGTTAATTCATAAATCCGAATAATTGATCAGCAGACTGGGTTGTCTTCTGCTTCACGGTTTTCAGATAACACGTGGTAGATGGTAGGGTGAATCTGTAACTTTTTTCTTCTTGCAGCTATTGATGCACCAGGTGGATTCCTATTTGAATGGTGGTCCGTCTTTTGGGACATCTTCATTGCAAGAACAAATGAGAAACATTCTGAGTCGGCTGCAGCTTACATTGAGGTATCTCAAATTCTACAGTTCTTTTTATGGACATGGATTAAGGCATGTCGTGTCTTTCATCTAATGTAAATTTTCTATATTATATTTCCAATGCATTTCATCTTTTATTTTTCACTTGCATTTTGAATTCAACAAAAGACACAACAAATTAAAGCAAGGGAACACCAGCAGCAGCTGCAAATGCAACAGATGCAACTTATGCAGCAGCGGAGTGCCCAGTTACAGCGAAGAGATCCTAATCAGCCTCCCCTTGGTGGCCCCATGAATACCATGAACTCTGAAGGAATGATGGGGCAGCCATCCGCGAGCGTATTGGCTATGAAAATGTATGAAGAATGTATGAAAAATCCTCATTCGATGGAATCAGAAACAAGTCCAGCTCTTATTGATGCTAATAGGATGGCTCTTCTCAAGTCAGGAACCAATCAACAAGGGTAGAATAAACCCTTTTCATTTGATTTGAACAAAAGGTACATTGGAATTTGCATTATTAAATTGGATTATTAATTTTTTTCGTGATTGATCCAGACAGTTGATGCAAGGGAATTCTGGGAGCATGTCTGTTGCGTTGCAGCAAATGCAAGGACGGTCTCAACTGGCCACTGTAACTGCTAAAACCATTTCTTTTGTTGGCTTCTTTGCCTCAGTTTCTTTTGTTTTTCTTATCAAGCTCTAATCTGTACCTTTTGGAATTGTCTAGGACGTGAAAGGGGAAGTTAACTTGGGCGCAACTCAGAAATCTTTGCCTATGGATGCCTCATCTATTTATGGCCAGGCAGTTCTTCAGCCAAAGTCTGGACTTGGTGGTGCAGGTAACACTGAAGCTAGTTCTTTCTACAGAAATGAGTAGAGTATGGATTTTTTGGTTATATTTGTTAACAGCATGTTCTTGAAGCCTAATAGAAGACGGCTGGACAGGCTGTGTTGATACTAACAAATAGGATGTGGGCTTACAAAAAGGTCATAGAAATTGATCACTATATGCATGTACACATATATATCGTGTACAAGAAGCTCCAGGATATAAAACTCATAGTACTTAATTGGATTTGAATTTAATTTCTACATGAATCCTTTTTTGCCCATAAATCTGATTTCTCTTATTGCGACCGCAAATTCTTTATTAATTTTTTGTTTGATAAACGGTAATAAGCACCTCATGGTGTTCTAGCCAGCAAATTTAACTTGGATAACCGGAAGGATCTTGCATTTGTCTTTTGCCCTCTAATGTCACTTAACATTGGACTTTGAAGTCTAAGTCCAATGCAAACTGAATTGTAGAACTTTCTAGTCATAGTGCACTTCAATAGTTTAATATTCTTCGTGTGTTTAAAGAAAAAAATAAAGCCTCAATTCGATAGATATTATTTACAATTCATTTTTTTCCCCAAACTTTCAACCGCACATTCTCCCAGTAAAGTAATTTTGCATGTGGGCCCATCAATTTCTGGACTTGTTAACCACATATCTTTAAAAGAATCATTTTCACGTAATCTATTCTCAAATATCTCCATCAAACAGCCCTGAATGCTATGCCAAAAATATAGTAATTTCTATGAGAAGATGTTAGATTTTATGTGCAATATTAAAGAGATGAAAAGGAGAAATCAACACAAGTATAGTTCACTAGGAACAAATCAGAGATATTTTATTCAGTATGAATAATAGAGTTACATCATCAGTATTTCAATCCTAGTCCAAGCTCATAAAGACTTTAGGGCCGTACAAGAAAATACCCCACTAAGTTGTAACCTACCGCGGGACGTTGCCCTCGCACCCCAACCTATTCAGTGTCCCTGACAGATGGTAAATTAAAACCCGCAAGGTTGATTCAGTCTCCCCTCTCCGGCATTAGTCTATTTGATCCAGTAAACCTTTATTCCACTCTATATGAGCCACGTGCACGATAGAATAGATGTTATCATATGCAATAATAGAACGTTTCCCATCTTTTAGATTGCACTATTGGTGTTACTATAAAATCCAGTACTTATTTTTGTTACCCTCAAAATATCATTGTTTGGATAGAATTGTGGTAAGTATGCTAATGCTATCATAATGTCATTATATAATTTCTCTCATCTTCTCAGGGTTGAATCAAAGCGTCACTGGTCTTCCACTGAAGGGCTGGCCATTAACTGTGAGCTTTTTATGGCTTTAAACATCTATTGTACTCGTTTGAGAATATTGTGGAGGAGATGAATTCTTGACAACTGTGTTTACCATATCATGCAGGGTCTTGACCAATTACGGCCAAGTATGGGTTTACAAGTTCAAAAGCCCAATCTACAAACCCAAAATCAGTTTCTTATGGCATCACAACAACAGCAGGTGCTAGCACAAGCTCGTGCACAAGGCAACCTTACGTCAACAAACTATGGATTTGGAGGATTGCCTCGGGGTAATTTTAATTCAAAAGATGGTCAACCTCCAAGGAATGATGGATCTTTATGCTCTCCAGTACAATCAAATTCACCAAAGGTTGTGACTCTCGGTGTAATCATGAATAATTATTCATAAGTTTGATTAATGATGTGGCTAGTTATGTGGCTAGTTAAATGCTGATGTTGCTAACCATACGTGGCATTCAATGTATTCGAGATTAAACTTGCTATGTTGTGCTAAGTTCTATCATGCGGAATTTGAAGAATGTTTCCCTTCTTGGAATTGAAACATTCTCTTAGTAGAAAACTAACGGCTTTTTTCCAAGTTTGGCATAAACAATATAAACAAGTTTGCCAGAACAGGAGCTGTAGTACATGGATATTTTTTATTTTCCATAATTTTTAGTTTATCTGTATGAGGAGTCTTGGACTATTACGTTCTGACGTATGGTACAGTAATTGCTTGAGTTTATTACTGCCTGTTTCTTCTAACAATAGATGTTTAATATATTCTCAGATGTTAAAGTTGGCTCCTTTAGGAAGTCAAACTTTTAAGTTTTATTGTCTCTGATTGAGTATTCCTGCATCCGTTTATGTGATATTCAGTACTCTTGGATATTGAACGTTTTCATTACGTTTCTGTGTTTATTTGTATGGGTGAATGTATGACTCAAAGTAGTATTGCTGAGGAAACAAAATTATTGACTGTAAAAAGAAATCAAATTACAAGTTCCCATACGGTTCTGTAGACTTAAAAATTTCTTTATGTTAAATTAGTTGTTTGGTAAATAGAGGTTTTTTTCCTCATAAGAAAGTAAAATTATCTGGATCTATATAAAGAAAAATGGCTATGCTTCACTTTAAGAGCATTTGGTTTCTGTCATATACAGATGAAAAATGAACATATGATATAAATTGTGGTATTGAAGCCCTTGTATAATCCTTAGTTTGTATTAAAATGTTGTCCGAATAAACTGGGTTTGGGATCTTCTGCTACCCTCACACCTTCCCAGAAAGCCAAGAAAAGAAAAGAAAGGTGGGGGAATCATAAGGTGCTTATTTCTACTTGACAGAGACATTATGCTGTGTATATTATGAGTCGTTGGACAAAGTTGGTTCCTGAATTTTCTTCAGTAAAATTGTTCACACACCTTTGCTTAAGATCATATGATGAAAATCAGCCATGAAGCATTTACTTTCTATCTCTTAATTAAAAATATTTTTCTAGTACTTCTAATTACTCGTTAATATGGCATGTATGCCTACATATGTTTGTTTCTTAGTCATTTGATTTTTTTATTTTTTATTTTTTATCTTTTATGATTTATTTGCTCCCTTTCACGCCGTCTAAATAGTTTTGAATCCTCTTTATTTTGAGGTAAATTAGGAATCTGATATGACATAAGATTTCTTATTAGTTTAAATATAATAATGATGATGGATGTTAGAGATGCTGGATTTCTTCTTCTTTTTCTTTTTCAAGTTTAAAGAGTAAAGAATAAAATATGTAACTTTTGCACCTCAAATATGCAGACTTGAGAAGCTCTTAACGGTGTACATGTAAATATGTACCTTTTACACCTCATATTAAGGGAACGGGAAACCCCGTTTCAATTATCAAAAATGCAGATAGTTTTTCATTTCAAGTTACTGCAAGATGCCAGCAACTAAGTATTACCATTTTGATCAGATGAAGATCCCCCAAATGCAGCAGTCATCCTCTCAACAGCAGGATCAGTTGCAACAGCAGCAACAGCAACTGCAACAGGTTGGTTCTTATGAAGTTTAGAGAAAACTTTTTATGCAACAACAACAATCCTTTGCATAAGTTGCAATTTATTTATTCATTCCCTGTGTTCCGTTACAACCATTACTACTTTGTGTTGACTTGTCACCACTTCAAGATTTCCATTTTGTTTGCTTGAATATATATGATCTAACATGCTCTTTTACTTGAAACAGAATAACAGGAAAAGGAAACAACACTCCTCATCTGGACCTGCCAATAGTACAGGTACTGGAAATACAGCAGGCCCTTCCCCGAGCTCACCAGCTTCGACACATACCCCTGGTGATGGAATGACTACTGCCAGTAGCCTACAGCATGTCAATAGTGTGTCCAAAAGTATGATGAGGTACGGTGCAGAGGGAACAGGTGGAATTGCATCATCTACAAATCAGCTGGTATGAATGGGTTTTATCTATGTTTAGCATTCGTATTTTGTAGCTAAGTTTTACGTTAATTTTCTAGATGGCATACTAAACTTGGTTGTATTCAAAATGTTCATGCACACAATTGAATTTTTTCCTGTTGTAACTCATCTATTTATATATACTATGTCGTTTTATATTATGATTTTCTGAAAAAGTAGCTCTGGTCGAATGTAATGATGAAGAAGGATTCCTGTAGTTTGTACTAATTTATTGGAGATAAGGCTTAGCTTGTTGATTTTCTGGAAAACTGTTTTGAGTGTTGAACTGGCTTTCATGAACCTGTGCCCTGGACATGGATCCTTATGATCTTACTTTGAACTCAGTTGATTTTAGTAAGCTGGTGGACTTATCTCATGGAAATCGAAGTTCAACATGGCCCAGTGTGTCTTATCTTTTTGCCTTCATTTTTTCACCTTTTCAATTTTTATTTTTATACAGGATGACTTGGAGAATTTTGGAGATGTTGGTTCCCTGGAAGACAACGTGGAATCATTTTTGTCGCAAGATGGAGATGGGAATATGTATGGTTCTCTGAAACAAACTCTTAGTGATCACAAACCAGAGACTTCTAAAGGTGGTCTTCAGTCACTTGTGTGTGCGCATGTGGGCTCTGTTTTTCTTAGATCAACTGTTGTCTCAGGCAAGATGTTTTTTAATGCTTTATACCTTCATTTTAGGTTTTTCCTTTGGAGAGGTTGGCTGTATACGGACAAGAAATGAAGTGACATGTTGTCATTTTTCTTCGGATGGAAAGTTGTTGGCAAGTGCTGGTCATGACAAAAAGGTTTGAAGCAGCGTCTCATGGCTTTATGAGCAAAAATTCAAACTCCATACTTCTTTTTTAATTCTTTATAGGATATTACAAATTCGTGTTACAGTTACTCTTTCATTTTTATTGCCTTCAGTTTATCTGTAAAATTAAAGAATGATGCTTTACTAGATTAACTTGACTAGTGATTCAACGAAGGAGTTTATCTTTGTAGTTATCTTTATATAATTAATTCTTTATGTGTGCATTAGGCTATTCTTTGGAACATGGATACTCTGCAAACAGAAGCCACTCCAGAAGAACATCAATACTTAATTACGGATGTCCGCTTCCGTCCCAATTCAAGTCAACTTGTGACAGCTTCATTCGATAAGTCTGTCAGATTGTGGGATGCAGCTAATGTAATTCTCTGCCATTCTGTCTGAAAATATTTCATATTTACATATTGAAAATAGACGTGCATGGTTGATATTGTCACACACAGACACTTAATTCTCATGGCCAATCTCACTCTACTCACTTTCTTGACTGTTCAAAATTTTGGAACTCTACTTGATAAAACTAACCTATAGTGACATTTGCATTTGTATTTTGTCATTACTAGTACTTATCTGATTAAACTTTATTTGCAGTCAAGCTGTTGCCTGAAAGAGTATACAGGGCACACTTCCCATGTTATGTCCCTTGATTTCCACCCCAAGAAGAATGATCTTTTTTGTTTCTGTGATAGTAACAATGAAATTCGCTATTGGAATATCAGTCCATTCTCATGCACTCGAATTTCCAAGGTTCGTGTTGATCACTGATCTTGGATTTTTTGCTCAACTTCAACATCTTCAGTTTTTTCTTTTCTTTTCTTTTCTTTTTTCTTTTGGAAGTTGCATTTTATAGTTTTTAAGTTATTTTTACTGATTGATTGAAATAGCAAGGAGGCAGTGCACAGGTTAGATTTCACCCGATAACTGGACAGGTGTTGGCGGCAGCATCACAGAAAGTGGTGTCCATATTTGATGTTGAAACCGACAGGCAAACACATTCATTCGAGGTTTTTACATTCATAATATCAAACTGATAATTTTTTTTAGTCAAAACGTAATTGATTCATGTCATTTGCTGATATTTTGTGCATTTGATATCTGGGTACATCTATAAACTTAAACTAACTTGAAATTTTGGTACTGCTGTTAGGAACATTCTGACATTGTGAACTACCTTTGCTGGGATCTCAATGGCAGTCTGTTGGCTTCTGTCAGTAAGGACTGCATTAAGGTTTGGTCATTGGGGTCTAGAGAGTGCATTCATGAGCTCAACGCCAATGGGAACCAATATCATTCTTGTGTTTTTCATCCAAGTTATTCGTCTCTCTTGATTATTGGTGGATTGCGGGTAATTATCTTTCTCTCACTCGCATGTGTGCACAGTGCATTACTAATGAAACTGGCATCCACATTGATGATTTGTATGTTACTCAGTGATGAACCCCACATCATTATTCTATAGATTGACCTCTGGCGTGTCATCTGAGCTGCTCCAATTTTCTTATCTTCGTGTAATTCAAAGTCCTGTTCCAAGAAACTTGTCTGTGCAACTTTTTTAGGAATTAGATATCTTTGATAGGGCTTAAGCTTCAAGAATTGTATTGGACCTGAATTGAAAATAACACGATGTTTTGGATCTGGACAGAGGGAAGAAAATGGAGTATAGAAGTTTAAGATCTCGGTGCAAGTGTAGTCCTTGGTCTGGGGTTTCAAATTGGATGACCTGTTATGTTATCCACATCTTTAGGGCTCCTAGTCACGTTAAATGCAACCTAATGCTTAAATTTTCTTTTTGTTGAATTGTTTCCCTTCATTCTTAATTCTTATATCTAAACATTTTTATCACTGCTTTATCCTCGAGTATGTGTTATGTAATGCTCTTTTTTTAACTTGATGGTGTAGTCTCTAGAGCTTTGGAACATGGCCGAGAACAAAAGCATGACAGTCCCAGCGCACGAGAATATTGTGTCTGCATTAGCACAGTCACCCCTCACAGGAATGGTTGCCTCTGCAAGTCACGACAGTTCGGTTAAGTTATGGAAATAAGCAAAGAAGATCCATGGCTATATCGAGGTCGTCCCTTTACGCGTTGAAGGGAGTGTTGTTGTCTTTGGTAAACCTGAAGATTTCAGCTCTCTCTGATGGTAATTTCAATGCCCCGTAGGTAATTAGTCCATGTGGGGAACTAGTTTGATTAGTGGTCTTACACGAAGAAAGACACAGAATCCAAATAAATGATACTAAAAATTGTTGTTGTCAAACCGTATTGATGCTTAATTGTTTCATGGATATGGGTGATTAGGGATTTTTATTGATTGATGGCATTTTGTTTTATTGTATAATTTGTTTAGTCGACGCGGTATAACCGTTAGTTGGAACAGCAAGCATGTAATTATGTCTGCATTTGAATATGACTTTACATTTGACGATTTTCATCCCTTGAAGATTCAGATCGTGATAGGATTATTGAGTAGTACTGGAACTAATTTCTTCCTTAACACTCCCGGGAAAGAGTACCTCGGAATGACTAGGTGCAAGGAAGCGTAGTCGGTGGAATGAATATAGCCATCATGGTATTTACATATGCAGCTTCATTTGCTGTCTTTGGCCAATTCTTTGTTTTAATATAGCGTGATCGTGTTCCTTTATACTTTTTATTTTGAGAAATATAAATAGCAAAGATTCACAATGACAGTGAGGAAAAGTGGAAAACTCATTCATTACAGGTTTCGTTGTGATATTTATTGCTCTCGCGGTTGTTGCTCGTGTATTTTATTATCTACGGAGGTAGATTCACAAGAAGAACCCCTTTCCTCTATACTTTTATCATCATTAGAAACTCAGCTTTTCTGTGGCTCATGTTGATAAACTGTCTAGTCGCTTTTATTAACATTTCGAGTAATTTATGATTAACTATAAAGAAATTGTTAAATTATAATGTTTCTTAAACATGCACTTAAACAACCACGTTGTTACAAAGTTTGCAGTTGGTTCGTCTTAGAAATAGCAAGTTTATAAGCACAACCACTCAATTTATAACCAAGTAAATAAATAGCCAAGCCCCCCAAGGCACATCCGAGTTGGTTGAACAATCACTTCGCTGGGACGCTGGAAGCAAGGGTGGAGAGTTCGATTCCTGGAGTTAACACTGGGAGCCATATGGTGAGGAAGCCATTGGTGTGAACAAACGCTCAGTGATGAGAGTTCTCTTTGCGGAAGGAGTCCAAATGAGTTGTGGGAATCTGGGAGCCAAAAATGGCACATCCTGCGATTTACCTCCCCGAGCAGCTGAGGGGCCGGAGGTTCAGGGACAAGGATCTAGTCGGACGCAAGCCCGGACACCTTGTAAAAAAAAAAAAAAAAAAAAAAAGTAAATAAATAGCCAAACCCAAGTTGCACATGTAAATACCATGAGCATGGCTTTATTCATTTCGACCCAATTCTGCGCCTAAGTTCCCCTTTACTCCTAGTCAATCTAAATAACAAGTCCACCTCTAAGAGGGCGAAGGGTCCAAAAAATAGTTGTGGAGATTGTTAAGAAAAACTAGTTCTTGTACAATTCAATTATCCAATCACGATATACTTTGGATATAAGTTTGAAATGAGTAAATCCTGCACTTCTTGTCAAGTTTTCGAATTCTTCTTTGGTTCTCTCTTTGCCTCCTATGTTTGTAGTCATCATAGCGATATCTGCATCGCAAGTCGATTTTGGATATCAGATCATTCTCTAGGTACTCTGGCAACACTGTTGGTGTGAACTCACGTAGCAATAGTAGCTCTAAAACTCACAAAAGATTGAATCACAACTCCAAGAAAGTTAAAATTTCGATTTGAAGCCTGACTCAATAATTTATTGATCAAAGAACCAAGATAATCACAAACAGTATCTTGATTTCGTAATCACAAAAACTATGAACCTTCTTATGAATTTGTTGAACGTCATAAAGAGTATGAATCTTTGATGAGTTTGGATAATTTGAACGCCACAAATATTGAAAATATTTGATAATTCTGTTCGATTAAGAATAAGATAGATATTGAAAAATGTCACATTATGACTAATTCTCAAAAAATTAATGTCTTTATTGTGTAATGAATGAGCCTTTTATAGGCATAATATAAACTACTAATCAAAACAAAACTCTTATTATAAAGACAAATCTACATAAATTAGAAAACTAAAAAACAAATCTGAAAATAACTAAAATACTACAAATAACGAAAATACTCTTAAATTAATTTAAAACATAAAAACGCAAAAAATGGGCCCCCTAAACAACCGATCTTGACCCTAAAATGGAAATATCGTTTAAGGATAATGATATAATGTCGTGTTTGGGTCTTCATATTCATTCTATCTTCATCTTCTCTTTTTTCATCTTCTTGATCTTTTGGTTGTTCGTTTCTTCTCAATTTTACCCTGGCGACAATAATTTCCCAACATCATATACTGAAGAAATTACTGAAAATGTTATCGGATGCATGTGCCGGTAATTGACAAAAAATACGTATTGATTTTCTTTATTATTTTTTTTCTTCGTATTCAATTATTTGCACATACGCATTTTACATATTTATAAAATTCTTTTTCTATTTGCTGAGGTTAATTCACATTGTTGTTATCAATCTATGACAATAATGCCATTTATAATTTGCTTAATTGACTGTCCAAGATTATGCAAAATGAATGGTATTTTGGCTACAAGATTTAAATGAATACACGTCCTCTAAAGCAGCTTTTAGATATAGGTTCAAGTTTTGCTATCACCCATTTATTAAAAAAAAATTGTAAGGGTCCGGCTTTCATGGGAAGAAATAACCTTGACAATATGGGAGAGGAGGTGTAAAGATAAGATTTAAATCAATATATATACGCGGTTCCTCTTTAACAATTTAAGCTTTTATGTAAGACGGTTATCTTAGGTGGAAATGGTGTCAATTGGTGGCCATTGGCATTCTTGTTTTCAATCAAATTTATATAGGCTCTTCTTCCATTCTGGAGGATATTTTGGGGTCATAAGAATTTAGTTTAACGTACTTTTTGTCTCTGCAAAGTTAATGATTTGGTTTCTCGTACTTGAAAGTGCATTGATTGTGTAAGTCTTTGCATATGAAGCCAATGTTGCTCCATGTTTTGTAGTTTTAGAGATGAAGTCTTTGTTTCATATTCTTCTCATCTGTATTTACCATCGCGTGACAGTTAGAATTTCGTTGAGTTTCATTAGCTAATAAAACGTTTTATGTTTATTCACATATTTTGTTGCAGAGATCTCCTCTACAAGCCTGTTGTTTTGGGTAAGGTTTTGCTCCAAGTAAATGAGAGCTATCTTATTTTTATTTTATGCCTAATTTTCGCAAGTTGCAGCATGTGGCCACATTTCTCGTTTCTGGTGTGTAAGCAAGTCCATGAGCGGACTACACCAGTCACATTGTCCAATATGTAGGAACAAATATTACCATTTTCCATCCATATGTCCGACACTTCACTTGTTTCTCCCAAAGATGTTTCCAATTGCATATAAGAGGAGGAAAAATCAAACTCTAGGTTTAAGTTTCTCGTTCTTAGATTTTGTGGGTCTTGTTGAACGTACTAAATATTCAATCACATAGTTTGGACTCCTAGAATATGGCGCTCTTGGGGCTTTCTATTTAATTGTATGGAAAGGCCCAATGAATTGGAATTTCCCTATTGGTCCAGGTCATTTCGGAGTAGAAATATAGCAGTTGTGTCCGAAATGGTATTAAGAAGGTATCAAGCGGCATTTCCAGATATATTACTCAAAAGAACCGGCACAATATGCCTAATCAATTAGAATTGAGAAAATTATGTCCCAGTTGTTACAAACATATGATATGAGCTGCAATCCGAAGAATAGATTATTCTCCTTAGTGATACAAGTCGACCTTGCATTTCTGAAGTGTCAGATAAAGTATGTTCTGGTTCAATTCTCCAACTTTATTCTGACAAGTCGAATTTGCAAACATTTACTGAAGATGATAGGAAAGTTAGTATTAGTTCTATGGATGATAAGAATTTGAATTCAAAATACGGAGATGGAAATTGTGAGCCGGTTTCAGTTAATGATGTACTATGCAGTTCGTGCAACAGCGTGCTCTTCCAGCCCATTGTTCTTAATTGCAGTCATGCTACTAATCACTACTTTTCATCTAGAAAACAAATGCTGACATCTAAATTTCTTTTCATTGCTCATATGTCTAGACTCTGAACTGATATGCATTACCCCGGCTCTGCCTTCCTTCTATAAATGATCAGTATTTTGTGCCAGTTGCATCATCTTCCAAACAAATGAGACACTCAAAGTGCCAAGTTTGTCGATGCCCACATCCAGGAAAAATTCCAGGAGTCTGTCTGGAGTTTGATCATTTTCTGGAGGAACAATTTCCAAAAGAATATGCACTAAGAAGAGTCACATCGGACAAAACACTTCCACATCCAATGCTCGAGTCCAAGTAAATGTATGTTTCAGGAGTTCATTTCTACATATCGTGTGGTAGTATTCCTAGCTATCACAGGACAGAGACAATTTATGTATTAGTAAAATCATTTACAATATAAAAAAATACAGAAGCGTAGGAGCTCCTCGATTGTTGAAGTTTTCTGCATTTATTGGAATTTTGTTCTCTCATTCTACTAGATCTACAAGGGAAAAAAATCCTTTTATTCTTACTTTGTCGAAAAGTTCTTAATCCCTGTTGTTTATGAGCCTGCTGGCTGTCCCTGATGTGTTTTCTGTCCATATGCTGGCTATCATTTATAATAACAATATGTGACATTAGATTCTCCAGAAGATAATAAGGCAAACTTGCACACTCAACTTCGTCTCTAGAGCATCCCTTACCTTGGTGGAAACCTGGTTCGAACATCCATTTTGGATTTGGTTGTGATTCTTGTGGGGTAAGTTCCTTGTATTCCTAACTTAACACTTATTTGTATTGACTGTTATCGTGATTTGTGCTTAATGCTGACGATGAATTTCTTGGTTTCAAACTTTATCAAGGTTTTGTTTGCATTGGATCAACTATTAGTTAAGAATTTGAAATATCGAAGGAACTAGCTTTCCTAGATAGTGTAGAAAATTGATTGAGTAATCGTACTTGTAAACATTGACATGCACAATATAATTATCCAAGTTTTTGCCTATAGATGTATCCAATAATTGGTGACCGGTACAGACGTAAAGAGTGCGTGGAGGAAATACGCTATGACCTTTGCGAAGATTGTTATATGACTCACTCAAAGATTCTTGGTCGGTTTAATCAGAAGCACACCCCAGAGGCCAGACACAAGGGTTTGAAATGATAAAATCGAACCCCACATGCAATATTATGTTCAGATTGCTGAGGGGACAATTGGAAGAAGTTGCTGCTTCTTCCAATGCATTGAGCAATGCAGTGGAAGATCTATCAAAATGTGTTCTCTTCTCTTTCCAATAATACTCGTGAAGATGCTGAAAATGGTTTGGATGCTACCATTACATCCACTGAGACTGAGGAAAACCCGAGCAATAACCGGGGGCCCTTTCATGATTTCCTATGTTTTGCCATTGGACTTCATGGTTATGTGCAAGACGATTGCTATATATCTGCTATTTTCAACTTTACATTTAGCATTGGCCTCTCCCAGTTCAATTCACTTATGACGTGTACGGTTAGGAGGATTAATCAATACTATCAATATCCAATATTGTGTACCAAATATGCACTAAAAGTTCATTATTGCCGTGTTAGTGATGCCATAGTATGGAACTTCAGTCTAAGCTTATCTTGATAGGGTGATTATACTACGTAAAACAGGTTCTCCTTCCTGGCTTTCCAGACTCACAAGAAGTCTCATGAAGTGTACTTACTTTGTGAATATACACAGCAGATTTTATAAATACTTAGAAGTGGTAATATAATTTTCTTTTGAATTTTCGCTGTAAATTGTATATTACTTAACAAAGTTGTAAACAAAGTTCATTGTGAGTTCACGAATGCAAAAAGAGTCCATACTTTTGTTACCTTTGCCAAGATTTTTCTTTGCTTCACGGCATCTTTCATGTATCAAACATTGTGTATTTCATATGGAAAGAGTCAACCGTTATTAACATGTCTAATTTGTACTCAGAATTTATATTTCACATGGAATGCTTCAACTATTATCGATATCTACTTGGTAAATGGGTTTATATTTTATGTAGAATGCGATGACCCTTTCATGTCATGTTTTTGTCAACCTAACCAATATGAAACATAGGTCATCGTCGTTCTGAATTGAGATTCAGGTTAAGTTCCGTTTCAGAACCTTGCGGGGTTAGGAGTAAAGTGTTTCGAGGTTGGGACATCATGTTAAACGTGTAAAGCATTCTACTTCTAATAAGTCATTAACTATATCATAATCACTCTCAATGAGTATATAAGAAGTGATCTCATTTTTATCATCAAGATTGAATAGAGATCAAAGATTTTGAGTGATCGGCCTTGCGGAGCAACTCAAAATATAAAGAAGCATTGGGTCGAGATCTTCTTTGATATTTTAACGAATAAACGATGGATTGCACGTTATAATATATTATGTAAAGTGTACATAATGACTCATGTAAAGTTAAGGGTGAGGGGTACAGGTTTCATATTCTCTTTGGGCCAATGAGAAGGCGAAGTTTTGGCGGGAGTTTTGAAGAAGAAAGATTCTATTTTGTTGGGTTTAATAAGAATTAAAAATAAAGAATTAGTCCCCACTAATTGATGTGTAGGGAAAAGCCAGAAAATTGTAAAAGATTGCTGCGGCGGTTTAACTCATTTTGAGCATTCCAAAAAATTAAGAATCTCAATATTGTTATGATGAGCCGTGTTACACGGACACGGCCCTGTCCGTTGACGCCCCCTATAGGCGGGGAGTCTGTTGGAAACAATTGCCGTACCTATAGAGGGGCACCACATTGTCCCTTGTTTGAACAAGGTCGACGTGGTCCTATTCGAATAGCTTTTTCCGTGTTATGAATATGTTCGTTCATCAATTATTATGCAAAAACAAGTTGGAGAGGAAGGTTTTTCTAGAGCCGGTCTAACAATCATTATCGTAGGAAAAAAGTGTTTTGAATAGTGATTTTTAGGAGAATGCGTGATTAAAAATTAGAAAAAAAATTAGTATACGTGTAGAATATTTTATTGTATGAATGTGTGATTAAAAAAGTCCTATAACACATCACAAATTAAATTAATAGTTGTCAAATAGGCTCAATATTTTTGTGTTTGGATATGGTAATAAAATGGCATTTCAATTTATCATGCCAAGTTCAAACTCGACTTTTAGATTAAACCTTGTTTACTACGAACGCTTTCGGTCAATACAATGGGATGTGTCTATTTATATATTTCTTGACTCGAAATGTAAACAAGTTTAAAAAATGAGCTTAAGAGTGTCAAGGATTGGACCCAGGAGGGTGATCACTAGATCTCTCAAGCATTTTAGTTGCATCATATGTAAAATAAGTGCCTACCTTTTTGCAAGTGAACTAGGAAGCTTACCATTTCGCCTTCGATCGGTTATTTATGCTAGGCCTTTAAAATAATTTTGTACTTAGCAGTGTCTTATCTTTTAAATGATAACAATTTGAATATAATTTAAGCATCTTTACTTTAATTATGTTAAATATCGTCGACGTGGTACATCAATTTATTTCATTGCTTTATTCTTCAAGCATTATCTACCACTTAAGTTAAAATGTGATCCCTGACACAAAGGTCACTCGCAACGTTACTAGAAACTCATATTATAGAGTTAGAAAATTTTATTTGGTCAACTTTAGTTATTAAAGAGAGTTGAAGTTTGTTGATGCTCTTTAGCCAAGTGAGGTGTGCCTAATTTTTTACTCTATAAATGCTCTTAACACAAGTCAATAAAGTTCCTTTCAAGACAAAATGAGAGTGCCTTTTGCCCAATAAATGCTTATAATGTCAAAGGAATCCAATGCCTTTCTATTGAAGAAATAAAAACCAGAAATAAATGGCCAGACCACTTACAAAATAATATTTGGTCGAGTTTTGATTGGTCGTTTTTCTTGTGAATCAATGAACAAGGGAGAAGTAAGTTGATCGCTTCAAAAATTAAAAATAAAGGTGCTACATTGGATGGAGATTCAGGGGCGGACCTGGGGGTTTACAGGGTCAAGTGAATATCTAAATTTTGAACAAAAATAAAAAATAATAAAATTGTGTGTCCGCCCCTGCGTAGATTGAAAGAAATGACTTCAAAGTAAATTATAAATTCTACAACATGTGTGGATAAAATATATGTTTAATCAATTTAAAAAATAATTTAATAATGGCCAAACATGCACTTGTAACAACACTCAGCTTGATAAAAATCTCCGTCATATAAGTGTCCACATGATCTTGTGAGTGAATTTCAAGTTGGTACTACGTTTGACGGACATGTTAATTTTTATACGCCTACAATCTTTTCTTTGTTGATCGTCGGATCGATAAATAATTTGCGTAAAATACTTGAAGTACCTCCGCAAATGTTGCCATGCTTCTATCTCATCCCGTGTCATCTCAATAATCGTCCAATTCTCTTCAACGCTTATAAAAACGAGTTCGTGGGATTCATAACTAGAGTTGTGAATTTTTTTAAACCAATTATAATTAATTAATGCCTTATTAAATAGAAAAAGAAATAAATATTTACTTTGTTGCCCTCAAACTCCAGCCCTAACTTTATTTTCCCTCTCTCTCTCCTCCCCCTCTCTCTATAAAACCTTATGAAAACACACACTTCCGCTCACATTTCTCACACAGAATACAACAGAAAGGGGGAAATACATGAGAAAAGCTAAAATAGGAGGTGACGTAAGCGTGATGGAACTCTCGCAGTCTACCCCCGGTGTACGAACCCGGGCCAAAACCTTAGCCCTTCAACGTCTTCAATCCTCCTTCACGGCTGCCACCGCTTCGCAGTCAAACCTTGAATCGTGTTATCTCCAGCTTCGGTCACGCCGACTCGAGAAACCGGTTATTTTGAGACAACAACAGAATTCCCAAGAAGGGTCTGCTCAGAAACAGGGGTTTAGTTGCGGAGAAAAAGAGGACCCGGAAATTGATGTTTCATGTGAGCAGGAGTATTCCGGTTCGGATTCAATTGGAATAGCTAAGAAAGAGGAGACTTGCTTTGAAATGGAAAACAGAGAGTGGGAAACAGGGGATCTTGAAATTGAGGCCTCTTTTGATAAAAATATTTTGGATTGGGAAGCTAGAGAAAGGTGTGTGTTGCTAATTATTTACTCTATATTTTCATTTATTTAAGAATTACATGGATTTTTTTATCATCCGTTTTATTCTGATTAATTTTCTGTTTGTTGTGTTTTTGAGATTATTTATTTATTGTTTTATTTTTTCCGTTCGGCTGCGATCCTGTAAAATCTTTTGTCTGAAGGGAAAGAAAGTTTTATGAAACTCAAACTTCTCTCCCCCACCTTCACTTCTTTAGTCCTTTAATATTTTATTTTATTTTCTCAAAAGAGCCTTATACAGTTATATACCTGGGGGCGGGGGTGTTTCTCCTAAGGAACTAAGATTGAAGATAGTTTTCTGACAACTTTACAATGTAACATGGATGTTAAAAAAAAAAAGATTGAACCCCAAAGGCCCACCATTCCACCCCTAGATTTTTTTTTGAGAGGTAAATTGTGGGATGTGTCCAGCATATTAGGAAATAAGAGCTGTTTGTACATTGCACTACAAGGAGTCTAATTCCATATCTTAGAAATCGAATCCCCATACTACGGTTGCCAGCATGACGTAAGATAACCTCACTCTTGTCCTTTACACCACTGGACTATGCCCGGGGGCAATGTAACATGAATGTTTGGTTGTATTTTTGGATGCGTATGTAAAGTTGTCAAGTATTTTTGAAGCAATCATAGCTGTGTTTTTTCTGAGCAGTGAAGTATTTAATGGAAAAGCCATATTTTTCTCTTCCAGTTTTGAGTGCCTTTAATACTCTATTGGGGTTAGTTTTTAAGCAGTGCATTGTGCTATGTCAGATATCGAAACTGTGTAAATTGCTTTCACAAAAGGTAACCAGCGTTGTGACCTGATGATTCTTTTTCATGAAATATAAACCAGCCCCACTAGCGTTGAATTAAAACCCAAAAACACACACACATGCCTGCACTCCCATGCGACCCACAATTATATTACCGCAAAATCGTCTTGTAACATCTATTTATGAATTGAAGGGATTGAAAAGAAATGATCATGTAGCCGACCCCACATTTGTTTGGACGGTGCCTAGTTTGTTGTTGATGTATTTCTTTATTTTTTTCCCCTTGTTGGTAATGGTACATGTACATTTTCCGATTAAAAGTAATGAAATTCATGAACATGGTTGGTACCAAATTTTAGAAATAAATGGCTTGTTTTCGTTTGCCTTAATATATTGATGAACACTGTCGATAAATTTTGGTACTATAGAGAAATTTCTGGATTACTTCTGGTAGTGTTTCCTGTTGTGTTTTAGTAGGAGTATTTGACGGTAGACAGTACGAGTTTTGGGAAATATTAGTGAATCTGGCTGCTTAGAATTTGACTTTATCGTTTTATTGAAGAAAATTAGCAAATATTTTTCTTCCTACTATAGTTGTGATTGCAATAATTCATCTTCTTCACGGGGACAGCCACAGCAAATTGAGACTGGAAAAGTATGTGGGATCTCTGGTTTTGTACTATCCATGAGTATATTGGATTCTGCACTTTTACCCTCTGGGCTGTAATCTTATTTTCTGCATTTGGACCTTATTATACATGATTCAGTGCCTGAAATTCACATTGCAAGTGGGGTTGTAATCAGTTTCTGCATTTCAGCAGGAGCACTAGGGAAAGCGCACCATGCAGTTTGATTCAGTTTGCAGGCACAGTCTTGACTCCCGGCTTGACCACAAGATGGACGAGTCCCAGGGCAGCGATTCAAAGACCCCAGGATGCCATTCTCAGAAACATTCCTACATCGCGTGAGATGGAGGAGTTTTTTGGCCGTGCTGAGCAGTCGCAGCAGCGCCTTTTTATGGAGAAGTAAGGAATTTATATGCTTAACTAGAAATGATTATTTTTTGTCACAATGTAGATTAACTTTGCCATATTTTGTGTTGTGCAGGTATAATTTTGATGTTGCCAACGATGTACCCCTCCCGGGACAGTACCAGTGGGTGAGAGTGATGCCTTGAGAAGAATTAGCCATTGTTGAAAGGAAGAAGTTATAATGCCTGTCATTACTGGAAATATCAAAATTTGTGTAAAATGGACAGAGCCATTAGATGTGTAGTTTAATTTTATTTGGACTAACAATTTAGATGTAGAATCAATCACAAGACAATGTAACATTAGGTCTATGATAAAATCTCGTGTAATTTGCTGGTAGTGCAATTCGATTTTTATCTTTCGTGTCAAGTTTTGCATTTATTTTTTTCTTTTCGCCGTTAATTGCCAAATTGCATATAGTCACAAATAATCATTTCGGATATTACATCGAAGTTTTACTTTGATTTAAGAGAAATTTAGAGTCATGGTCTTTATCGAAGCTTCTACTACTGGAATTGCCATTAAAGTTTTGTTCTAGGTCCCTAAACTATAACATTTGGTGCAAGTCGGTCTGACTAGATGGAAATCATCGGAATGCACTAGTGGCACTCTACCATTGTAGCCGACTTGCCCGTGCTAGTCTTGTATGTGTAATGACTCAAACTTATGTTCAAGTCGTTAACTCGTACACGTTATCTATTTTGGGAGAGCTTAAATTTATATTACCTTTTACAAATTTTTTTCACATCGTTCAAATAAAGAACTGAGCAGAGACTTAAGTTGAATTGGTTCGTCTTATATTAGATCTTGTTGTATACACAAGGTATAAGAGGTTATTCTTTTTTGATCCCATTTGCATGCTTGTTAAAGGCTCTGCCTTATTCGATCCCATTTGTTTGTAAATGCATGTGTGCATACATATACGCATACACACTAACACACATATATTTTAAGTTTTAATTATAGTTCTATTTTTATGAGGAGAACTTTGTCGAGAGTAGTTCAATTATTTCATCTTTCACATTACTTTTTAGTCATAAAGCTCTTACTATTAAAATTTAATTGCTTATTTTAACTTTTAATGAATTGAATTACAAGATTAAATTTGTTAAGTTCTGATTTCGAGTCTCAAATCCCATATTAAAAAAGTTGACTTTATTAAGAATGATGGTAAATCCTTGTATATTATTTGTTTATTTTCATCTCTTAGCCCTGTTTGATTTCCATTCTCTGAAAATGAAAATGGGGGAAATAATATTTTTTTTAAAAATGAGTGGTCGGAAAAGAAAGAAAAATTTTCGATTTAAATGTAATATTATTTTATGAAAGATTGTGTGGTTGAAAATATGAAAGAGAAAAATGAAATGTAATGTAATTTAATTTAATGAGGATCAAACAGAGACTTAATTTACTTGGAATTTTACTTTTTAAAATGCACACAACGTTTTACCTTGTGGGCCCCTGACACGAATTGTGAGGATTAGCTTGGATTGTTCTGAGAACCTAAAATCTCAGGTTCTGAGTGGTGTCAGACGGCACCTTCAACAGTGTGTGTATTATTAAATCTCTGTCTTCTCCATGCTAATATAAATAAAGCTGCGAAGTAAAATCAAGTGGGCATTTGTTTAAGATGACAACTTGGACCATACATGGAGTGAAAGAGTTGGTGGAATAGGTGGACACGAAAATTTTTGATCACGAGTTCGATTTTTTTTATCAATATTTTCTCGATCGAGCCTATCGCACAGAGCTTATCCAATGCGATTTACTTAGTTAGCGTGGTTTGCAACTATTGCGTCAGTCCAAGGGTTTACCCAGTGCGCACGCTGAAAGTAGCTACTGCTGGTTCCGCCGTAAAAATAAAAAATAAAAAAATAAAATAGATGACAACTTGGATGATATTGTATACAAATTCAACAATAATTTGACAAAAAGTTCATTAAATTCGAAAACTGTCTAATCATGAGTTGATACGTGGCACAATGTCAACAATGATGTCAAACAAAATATACGAGTACCACCATGATTGCTTGTTTAATATTTGTACGTGCATCAAATTCAAACTTCAACAATCATGGAGAAATTACACGTGAGCATTTATTTCTAATTTTGAACTCACATTATAGTTTTGGATTTTGCTATTTGTACACTGATATATAAATAGCAAAATTTAGATGTACAGTTCTCCTCACAAAAAGTCTTGTGAAGGGTACACCAACGTGTACACTTAGCAAAACTCTATAGCTTATGTACAGCAAAAGTGACCCGAAATTAGAATTTGGCTGTATTTATTTATTTATTTATAGGACAAGTGAAGCTGGATTGTAATACTTTAATTTTTGTCGGTCATGTAGTCATTTATTAAAGTGAGTCGAGTTAGTTCTTAAGCTACAATAGTACTTTTTATAAACTTCACCTTTACGACCTTCTCTTGTACAAGTATTTTCACAATACTTCTCTAAATATTGAATTAGACTTGAATATGTCACATTAATGGACATGGACGGGTCAATTCTTTCATTTTTGGGAAGATAGTTTCATTTATCCTTAATCTTTTTGTCATATTACTCTATATGCTAAACATATTTCGACGTATACGCCTTCCCAAATCATGAGGTTTTAGACATTTCCAATTGCTACACCTAGATTTTTAAACTTCCAATATCGCTTAACATTTCACATATGAACTTAATCAAGATTTTAATTACTTCTCATGAATAAACTTTTGTACTTGGTGGAAAAACTTCTTTTTTGATGGTCAGTGGAATCACAATTCACTCATTAGGGTTTTGAAACTCCTAAACTGCAAATGATGGGGGTTGGAAAATCATGCTAAAGTTTTTAGAAACACATACAAAAAGTGATCTGTGTGAAAAAAGAAGATCTTTTCCTTTAGTGTTTTCAGTGTAACTAGTGAATGTGATTGGACTTGTGTGTGAAACAAATATTCTCTAAATTACTCGGTTCTTGACTAGAAAACCTTTGTCAGTGTAAGTAGTGAATGTTAAATGGTATTTTCTCCAACCGTCATATCATGCAATGTAACATCAACAATAATTCGATTAGTACTAGATTTTGTATTCTAGAATCGACAAAAAAAATTTCTCATACTACTTGCTAAAATATAGGAGTTTAAAATATTTTTAGCCAATTTTAGTCAAGAGTACACTAAAATTTTAACAAAACTTGTATCTACACTGACATGACAAAACATGATTTTTCCATCTTTCAATAATGTTGCGTCATGTGTTATCTGTAAAATTTTTCAATAAAAAAATTATGTACTTGTAACATTATTATTCGAAGAATGAAGATAATGGTTTTTGAAATTTAAATTGTAATAACAATAACATTATTAATGTATTATTTTTCGCTGGTTATTGTGAAATCATTAAACATGATAGGAGAAAAATGTTTTAAACTCAAATCTTATTGTCATCTGGTAATATAAATCCTACTTGCATATGTGAATAACAGCGTTGAACATAAAATTATATATCGACGAATTTCTTTTGTATTTGATAGATTTATGACCCATTAGGTACCTATTTTTTTCAAAATGCATTTTTCTTTCCTTTTCAATCACACTTTCTTTATTAAAATAATATTATACGTAAATTAAAAAAAAATTCTTATTTTTCAACCACACATTCCTCATCAATTCACTATTCTAAAATGAATTTTTACATAAAAATGAATCTCAAACCCCCTCTTAAACTTATAAACAAGATGACAAAAAGATACAGTAGAAAGAGAGAGAGAACTAAAAATTAGCTATGCGGATAATAATTCTTGTTATTTTCAGCAAAACCAATTATCTAAGCCATACGACCTTTTGTCCCTAGAAAGGGAATCACAGGATTTCGCCCTCCCAAAAGGAAACTCGAACTCAGGTCATCTGCCTGGTAAGGCTTTGTTATAATTTCCCCGGTAAATCACCTTGAGGTCTTCCCTTGGCAGATTAACAACTGGAGGCCTGCTACACGGACAAGGCAACGTAGGCCCTGTCCGTCCAGGGGGGAGCACATGTACGTCCACGTTGCCCTGTCCGTTTAGATTTTTCCTAACAACTGAGTGAGTATTTTTTTTTTTTTTCCTGAGCGTCAAATATCTTTGCATTTTCCCCAGTCGCTGCCAAATTATCTGAATGTTAAAAAAGTTCCTCAATTTAGCAACAGAAACATCAAAGTAGGGAAATGAAGATCAAAATGAAATTAATCCTGAGAAAGGTGGAACAAGAAGCAAACTAGTACCTCTTCCTCGATTTCAGCTTTGAGCGCCATCTGAGTTTCTTTCCATGGAAGTTGCAGGCTCCATAGATATTGTGTGTTTTGCTTCTGACATTTCAAGTTCACATGCACTAGTATTTGAGACAGTTCCGTTCTCTGCTCTAAGCTCTTTTAGTTTTTCTAGTCGAATGGCATGAAGCTCATATCTGACCATTAGCATGACAAATAATATTATTCACACACAGCTCAATATTTAATCAGTAGCAGCATAGCAATGAATATTTTTGTTATTTTAATTACCACACAGTTAGTACTTCGTAAATGAAATATTTTATATTAGAAAATGAAATTGCATCATTTTTTTGAAGGATCATGCTACATGTACATAAAAATTGCACTAAGGGATTACATAAAATGATGTGAAGAGAAAATATTGGATGAAAAAATTGACTATGATTTAAACTAACGAATGATATCGTGACATGTGGTATAATGTAACCCATTATGTAAAGTTTGATGTACATATAACAATATCCTTTTCTAAAAGGTGATACCCAAATATATCATTGAAGGGTCATAATGACAGTCTTACAATTCTTTTTATGAAAAAATATATTACACGGTAATATCACTCGACACATGTTGAAAAACATATGGATCGGACATTATAAAACTTCAATATATTAGGGGTACACAAGGGATTACAAAAAATGATGTGAAGAGAAAAGATTGGACGAAAAAATTCACTATGATTTAACTGACGAATGATATCATGACATGTGATATAATGTAATCCATTATATAAAGCTTGATGTACATGTAGCAATATCCTTTTCTAAAAAGTAATATCCAAATATATCATTGAAGGGTCATAATGATAGTCTTACAATTATTTTTATGAAGAAATATATTACACGGTGATATCACTAGACACATGTTGAAAAATATATGGATCAGACATTATATAAACTTCAATAAAATAGGGGTACAAAGAACTTGATTTATGAAATGAAAAATGTGTCCACTTATCTTGCAAATCTTATTCAGGCAGTTCCGAAATCAAGATTACACGGAGATAAGCATCAATGTAAAAAAAAAAAAAAGCGAAGTGGTGCATGTTTTTATTTGCGTAGGAAACGAAAGCTGAGTGGCAAAAGGATTCTATGAAGGCATGATAAGGCTTTGGAGATTTGGTATTGCAGTTAAAACTTGGTATCTGAGTTTTTACTTTTTCCTGTGAATTTATCATAAAAAAAGATTATTTATTTTACTTCTTGTGGTTTTATATTCTCCTGCGTGTTGCACTGGTTATCAACTAGTGATGAGCATGAAATAGAAAATGTCAGGATTCCCAAATGAAATATTCGCGCATGATTATCTTATTTATAAGACATCAATTTTTCACTTTCTTAACAGATTCGAAAAAGGAGGTGTATACCTGTATTCGCATAACAGGTTAAAAAAGGCAATACATATATACTAGTACAATTAACAATCGTATGAGTAATATTTCGAGGAGACAGGAAGCGTGGAGCTATTAAACATGTTTCACAAACTACAACAACTTTTCGAAACATTTTCCTACTTAAAAGTAAAGACAAAAATTATCTAGACTTAGTTTTCCTTAAATTCAAATTTATACTTTATGACTCTCGTGATTTCTGAGTCTCTTCCACCCCTTTCCTTCATCTATCCCAACATCCTCTTCCCCCCTACACAAAAGAATGAGAAAAACTTTAGTGGGATGGTCACACCGTCCTACGTGGTGCGACCGTCGAATGAGGAGTCACCACCTTATCTGTTGACCCACCCTCACCCAACTTGATTAGTTTTTCTCCAAAAGAGGTCGTTTCCTATCACCTCTATATATGTTGGTTAAGCAAGAATAAATAAAAAACTTCAGAGCCTTAAAAGAGCTCCTCACAACTTTTTAAATGTAATGAAACTAACCTTCTAGGATGGCTCCAAGATTTCCTCTTAATTTTTATCATATCAGCAAAAAAATCAAAATATTCTGAAGCATCTTTCTCCTAACATAGGAACAATGTAGTAATTCTACAACAAGCCCCATTTTTAGTTTTTTGTTACAGATATGTCATCCTCTTCACCGTTTGGCATTATCTCTTGTTTAGTCCTATTGAACTCCAATGAACGGAAGTAAGTTTTATTCGATATAAACTTCAGCTTTACTTTGTGAGATTTCTCTAATTTTTAATAAATAATACTTGGCCCTTGTCTGAGCTCCATCAATTTGATAATACATTTTTTCTCCATTTTCTTTTCAATCACACATTCTCTAATTATATAATATTACATGTGTGTACATTCTTCAAAAAATCACTATTACAAAATACATTTTTCTGAAAAAACTAATTATAATGGAGCTCAAAGAAGGGCTTAATACGAACAAATGTACACACAATAAAATTAATAAATGTACTAACAATAAGAATTCATCTAAGAATGATATTAATTATTTGGGCTATGATGCACAGCTGTTTGATGGGATTCTATCAATTTTTAGAAGTTACTAACTATTGAACTTATCAAATATTATTAAGCACCAACTTTGTTATAAAAATGCAGTGAAGAGAAAATATATTTCTTTCGAAAATGGGCATTTATTCACAATGCAGCAGTCTGACAAATCAGTAACTCCGAGGTTTCACAACAAAGTTGGTGTTTGATAGTGATTTTTAGAGAATAAATTTTGTAAAATGTGATTTATTTTTTTAAAATGTGTGGTTAAAAATATAGAAAATTTTGAATTTACATGTCAAAATAATTTATTGAAAGAATTTTTTGTTAAAAATTAATTTAGAAAAAAAATGAGTTTTAAAAAAAATAAACCAAACAAGGCCTAAATAAAAGGTCACAATTGTTAATGCTTGTTTTTCATAGAGTTAACTCTTTTCCTAGTATTCTTGCATCCTAAACTAATGCATATGAAAACTTAACAAAACTCCAAGAGATGCATCGATAATATAACTCAAATTATATCATTTGTATTAGTGTTTATCCATTTGGTTCGGATTAAAATCTAATTTTAATCTAAATCAAAGTCAAATAATCAATATTAATCACATCTTTCATGAGTCCCACAACTTTTCAATCACATATTTCAAAACTTCCAGCCTTACAAAATTTTCAATTTTCTAAAACTATGTGAGGGTAGGTTACCATATTTTTCGCTCTGCAAATCCAAGTTTTATATATAATATCATTATGCTTAGAATACCATACTTGTAAGACATTTGTCTTACTTATAAGAAATTTGTCTTGACCCACTTTTCGAAAGTTCACGATCAATTTTGTTCAATCATGCATCACTTTTTTCTTGAATTTCTGAGCAAATTGACTGTAACAATGACAAGTTTTCTATAATCTCTTAGTTCGATTGACTTGGGTGTTGCTTTGGAGGGAGGGTTGGATAGAAAAAATATAGAATAATATAGATTTATTATTGTTTAAGAATTTCAACAACAAAACATAATTAAAAATTATTACAAAATCACTTGCAATGCATGAGTTTCTTACTAATCCATAATCTATTAATATTAAAAGATACATAAGTTGAAAATCATTTTATCGACGATTTTAAACACAAGCTTAACATTTTATCTTAAAGAAAAAGTACTTAAATAGAGAGAAATTTCACTCTAAACATGGTATCCTAAACAGTCAAAAACTTATTGACTTGATCAAAATGAGAAATAACAAGTTTTATATTGTCGTAACATCTAAAAATTAAAAACTTTATAACACTAATAGGAAACTAAAAAATAAAGTATAAAGCACGTTTGACTTTAACCAATATATTTGCAAAAGTTCCAATATTATTGAATATACTACAAATTACTTTTTCTTGTAGTGTACTCTTTAAATATCATGCCAAACGGCCCTAATTATTCCATGACAAATCAAAATAAAGTAGATACTATCTTACCTCCTTGAATCAATTCCTAGAATAAAAGGTTAAGCTAATTCCTAGGATACATTTGACAAATCAAAACTTGGATTATTCAATGAAAAAGCATTTGCATTTGTCCCCCAAGGAATCATTTGATCATGACATTTGAACTATTTAATTACCAATTCCAAAAGCTTGAAAGCGCTACTTAGGATACTTATAATTTATTTTTTTGGGCACAATATGCAAAAAGCGAAAAACATGCATAGTGTGCGGTTCCCTAAACAAATAAGCATGTTCCTATTTGATCTCTATCTTTTAAAATTCATTTTCAACCATGTATTTCATGATATCCACAACTTTTATCAAAATTTAATAAAAAAATTAAATTTTAGTTAAACCAAATAGGAGATTAAAATCATATTTGGTAATATAAGTTAAAAGTAAAAATCCTTGTCCTTTGCTAAGCTCGATGGCCACTATCATCAAGTGTAGGTCTGTAAAAGTAGATCAATTTAGAATATATTTAGCTGTGCCTACTCTGAAAATTATGTTTGTTAAAATAAGTGAATTCAAAAAGCAAATAAGTTAAAAGTAAACATGCTAGTCTATTTTCATGCTCAATAGCTAGATAAAGATATTGACACTACTATAATTATTGTAGCACTACAATAAATTAGGACAAAAAAATAATTTGCATGGCTCCACGAAGCACTCCCACCACCATAGCCCACAATTGCAATGAGTAGAGGTCGACGTGACCAAATTTATTGAAGATTTTAGTGCATGTTTGCTTAAATTTTAAAAGTTCTCCTATAAGTAATTTTTTTTTTTTAGAATAAAAAGTAGATATATGCAATTTACTTATGCGAGAATTGCAGTAAAGGTTCCAAACATTTTCAATTTTTGCAGACTTTACCTTAACCTTCATTTTATGCCAACGAATATCCCTAATATTTCATGCATATGTAGTTAGAGTCCAAATGGATAGAATTTGGCCATTAATTGACCAGAAAAATCAAAATTTGACCAATTTGGACCAATTAAAAAGGATATAATAGTACTTTACATTTTTCTCATATTAAATAAGTTAAGAAATTAAAAATAAATATATAACCCCACTGCCATCGACCCTATGTCACTCATTTCTTCTTCGATGAGACCTACTGGAAACCATCGCCACCGCCACCGCCACCTTTTCTCTAACTAGACCTATCGTAAATCGCCACCATCATAATCAAACCAAAACCAACCACAACCATCAAACCAAAACCAACAGCCAAAAATTACCTCATATTCAAACTACAGCATATTCTAATTTCAATCACAATTCATAGCAAAGTAGCATCACCCACAACCAGATTTTAGGTAAGTTTCCAGTAGATCTCGTTGGAAACTCAAAACGTAAAGAGGTTTTACCCAACAATATGAAAATTCCAACACAAATATGAATGGTACACTACTGAAGCCGAAGGTGACAATACTATAAACCTCACTAACCAATGCAAGTTGAAATGTTGGATTTTATACGTAATAATAAAGAGATGAAAAAGAAAAATCAATACAAGAATTTACGTGGTTCAACGGTGTGCCTACGTCCACGAGAGCGAAACGAAAATAAATTTTATTCAGTAGTAAAAATAGGATTACAACATATTATTTATACCAACTTTAACCTGAGCCCATATAAAACTTTAGGGCCCGTACAAGAAATACCCCTGTACCATATCGCGGGGGGTTGCCCTCGTACCCCGAACCCATTTTGCGTCTCTAACAATTAGATAGTGAATTAAACCCGCCCCGATATCGACCTATTTGATCAAGGACTTGTATTCCACTTCATATGAGTCACATGCACAATATGAAGTAAAACCAAAATCGTCTAAAATCAGTTTTTCTTCCAAATATTCGCCTTAACACCAGAATCGACAGGATTCATAGGCTCGTCACTCTTCTCCAATCCTACTGTAGCCTCCACACTGAGCTTTCGCTTGAGCGTGGGCCGCAAAGAAAACAGGCTCCTCATCTTGGTAGCGGCAGTTGACGCAATCGAGTTTAGATCTGATGTTGGCGTTACATTTTCTTTAGAAGATTTTTATCTCTAGTTGCTAGTGCGTGCTGCTGCTATCAATTTACTTTTAGGGTTTAGAAATGCAGGTGGTGTTGGGGGTATAACAAACTTTCAAAGGTGGCGGTGGCGACGATTTTCGGCAGGTCTCGTCGAAGAAGAAAGACCTCATCAAATTTTGATTTGGGGGAGTGGGATGGGGTGGAGGGGAGTGGGGGTTATATATTTACTTTTATTTTTTAGGATTTTTAATTTAATTTTTTAACTCATTTAATATGTTATACCTTTTTAATTTGGTCTAAATTGGTCAAAGTTTGACTTTTCTGGTCAAGTAACAGTCATACCATTCATTTGGACTCGAATTGCATATATATGAAAGATTAGGAACCTTTATTGGCATAAAATAAAGATTAGGATAAAGTCTTAAAAAATTGAAAAGGTTTGGAACCTTTGCTGCAATTTTCCCTTTACTTATATTGAAACATCTAGCAAGATGAATATTTTGGCCTCTCTCAATAGAATACAACTATTCTTATTATTCTATAATTAAGTCCGCGTAGTTTAATGCAATATTAACCTCATAAGCAAGTTTTATTTCAGATGCTTCTTGTTGTCAAAATAATTAACTTTACTTACTTTTAAGTACAAATAAAATAACATATCAAAATATGTAATAAAAAGTCTGAATCTTCTAAATATATTATACTGTCTACTCTTCACATGATACAACGTAGTCGAAGTACTTGTTGCCCTGCACATCTCAATCTAGTGACAATATGTGAAATGGCATTACTGTCATTGTCCATTGATACGCCTTCTATGCTTATCACTAACATATGCTCTTCTAGCATTCTCTATTCTGACAAACCAGTCTAATACGCTAAACTATTGATTCGTAGCTCAAAATTTACTTTTAAAAAATGACTTATTTTTTAATTTGTCCATACATAATCTATATGAAACAAATCTTGGTAATTCCTAAGATGACATTACATTCCATGCTTGAAAACAGCCTTGGAAAGTGATTGGATGATTGAGACAACTCTTCAAGGGTGACCCAAAAAAGGAGAACATGAGGAAGATGTAATAAACAGTGCTATTAATTTTGTGGTAGAAAATGAGAAAGGCAGTGATATCCATATCCCTCTAGATCTCTTCCTCTATGGCTTTTAAATGTTGACTGATTTGTTCCTACCATTTTGTGCAACTTAATAATCCTCAACTTGTTATTTATTTATATTGTTTATGGCTTACAACTATCATCCTT